AAACCTAGACAGCATCTTAAAGAGCAGAGACATGATCAGCAAAGGTCCGCATAGTCAAAGCTATGGTTTTTCCAGTAGCGATGTACAGAAGTGAGAGCTGGACCATAAAGAAGGCTGACCGCTGAAGAACTGATGCTTTTGAATTGTCATTCTGGAGGTGACTCTTGAGAGTGCCCTGCACTGCAAGGAAAACAAACCTATCCATTTTGAAGGAAATCAACCCTGAGCATTCACTGGAAGGACAGATCCTGAAGCTGAAGCTCCAATACTTTGGCCATCTCATGAGAAGATAAGATTCTCTGGAAAAGCCCCTGATGTTAGGAAAGTGTGAAGGCAAGAGGAGAAGGGGACGGCAGAGGATGAGATGATTGGACAGTGTCATCGAAACTGCCAACATGAATTAACCAAACTCTGGGAGGCAGTGGAAGACAGGAGGGCCTGGCGTGCTCTGCTCCATGGGGTCACGAAGAGTCGGACACAACAACTAAACAACAACAACGAAGAGCTCTAGGTGCTTGATTTGTAATGACTGCTCTTGTTTTGTCCATAGACCATGGATCCTGTGATGCTGACAGTGGGCGCCCCATCCCAACGGGCTGGCATCTTTGGTAACCTGTACTGTGAGCTGGAGACAGGAGAAGGGTCTTCTGACAAGAAGATGTAGGAGAAATGTCCACCACATATGTTGTTGGGCTAGTTCGCTTGTGACTCTGAGGCATCTGGATGGGTGATGTGTCATGGGGTCGAATAGGGAGAGGTATCATGACTGAAGAGACTTCATCTTTAACCTGGCATGCTGGATAACGGGAGCAGTGGAAGCCATGAGTCCGAGGTGGTGTTGGGCTTGATGAGCTGATACTAAAGCATGAGGCTGGAATAGTTGTATAGCCGGTTTGAGTTTGATTATTCTCTCATAAGGGAGAAAGGTTCTGGCTTGTAGGAAATTGAAGTATGCCCCTATATAGGTGGCTGTCTGTGATGGTTCAAATTGGGATTTGGCATGGTTCACCTGGAGACCAGATTATTCTCTCATAAGGGAGAAAGGTTCTAGCTTGTAGGAAATTGAAGTACGCCCCTATACAGGTGGCGGTCTGTGATGGTTCAAATTGGGATTTAGCATGGTTCACCTGGAGACCGAGATCTTGAGTGTCGAGAGTAATTTGGGTAGCTCTGACGGCATCGTGGTAGGAAGCAGAAACTATCATCCAGTTGTCTATATAAAGGAATATAGTGATTTCCTGAAGGCGGAGGTAGGCAGCAACTGGTGTCATACACTTGGTGAAGGTCCTGAGTGCCATGGAGAGTCTGAACGGAAGAGAACGGAACTGGTACGAGATGCCATCGAATCGGAATCGAAGAAATTTGTGGTGACTCGGATGGATAGAGATGTGAAAATACACATCTTGGAGACCAATGACAACAAATCAGTCTCCCTGTGAATGAAGAACGATAGTCAGCATTCTGAAACTAGGCCGAATGAATTTATTGAGGTTTCTAAGGTCAAGGATGGATGGAGTCCATCCTTTTTCGGTACAGTGAAGTATCTAGAGTAGAAACCATCATGCAGGGCAGATGAAGGGACTAAGAGTATGGCTTGGAGAAGAAGGGAAATTTCTTCTTGAAGTGCGAATGAGTGGGGAGTAGTTTTAATGACAGTGAAAGGTGGAGTATGCTGAAATTCAATGAAACAGCCCTTTTCGATAATTGAAAGGACCCATTGGTCCTTGGTGATTCGACACCATGCACCGAAGAAAGGGTATAACCTGGTTTGAAATGGAATGGAAACAGTGGTGGAAGATGGAAGGGATGTATTGATACTACTTACCCTTCTTCTGTTGGTGTCGAAAGGGTTGTCCCACTAATCACATGTCTTTAAGCTCTAGAAAATTCTGAGAGGTCCTGCGCAGGTGCAGAACAACCCAACTGTGTTCATTCACGGAGGCTACGAAGAAGAACAAATTACACAAAACCTTGCAATTTAGCACCAAAGTATTTCTGTATTATACTTGTTACATTTGGTGTTCAACAGATTGTTCCCAGAATGGTTGGAATCCTGTTCATGGAGCAGCATATGCATAACCATATGCATATGTTGTAAGCTGCCCAGAGACCTTTGGGTAGAGTGGGTAGCATATAAGTTAAATAAATAAATAAGGCTGATGATGTCATGAGTGATGGACTTTAATCATTAAGGCCTGAAAATTGCTGCCAATTCCATCCCATTCCCAAGGACCCCAGAGACTTCTCCCCAGGTGGAAAAGTTCCCTAGTAGGCTCTGAGCATTGAGGTAGATAGCTTTTAATTAGAGATGAACATCCATGGCTGATTACAGCATTAGCCTTAGCCATGCAGAGCTATGTGAACAGAATTCCAGTCAATGAAGCATATTTACCAGGCCCTTTCTAATAGAGTTGTGCTTGTCATTGCTTATCTTCCCAACACACTGTTGTCACCTAACAATCTGTACTGGTGCTGCCATATATCTAAAGCAGGTCTGAAAGAGTTTTAAATGATCCAAACTTTGAAGAAAGTTTAAAATAAACACAATAGTATGTTAAGGATATTCTATATTTTATTTATCAAAATATTTCAGTTGTTACAGAACAGAATACATATCAGCACATATCAAGGACAAAGTACTCATACACATCCATAGTGGCTTATAAAAACAATTCACATACAACTAAAAGATGGCAGAGAAATATTAAATGGTATAGGTCATTTCTATGAAAAATAGAATTTAAAATTAAGGTAAAATTCCACTGCAGTTGGCTAGCTTGCAGATTATGCTAAATCATGGTTTAACAAGATGTATTCAGTTAGGAAGGATATGGTGTAAACCTCAGTGTGGCATGCTTTCTGGTTTTGTTTCCACATGGCCTAGAGTACAAATTGGGCACCTTTCAGTTTCCCCAAACTGCCGTATCATTCAGAAGAGGGATTGTATTTTATAATACTCTAGTTGTTTTAACAAGACACCTTCAGAAACCATTATCTGAAGTTGGCTGATCTGGAGAATAACCAGTTTGTATAAATTACATCCTGTTTGGATGATATAAGTCAATGTTTAGACAAACCACAGGAAGAAGATGCAGAAGTTTTCCTCCCAGGTAGATAGTTGAATAAGGAGGGGATATGAAAGCCTGAGAACCCACAACAGCTTCTTCCACCTCATGCACCTGTCACTAAACCACCATTTTACATGACTGGTACATTAGCCACTATGAGACATTATAAGGAGCATTAAGAGAGCAAAATTATTGTAGCTGCTTCTTTGGTCTCACTTTTTTTTATTTTAAAAAAGCATCTTTTGTTTGTATACAATGATTTTGATGTTCCATCAAACCACTTCCAAATTTTTGGTCAGTATCACGAATGTGCATGTCAGCAGTTACGTTTTTTACAAAAAATAATATTTTACTTTATGGGCTTTTATAAAAGCCAACAAAAAGACACAAACAGACCTAAAAAAAGTCTTTATGATCAAGGCTCTTCATTGATGTCTACAAATGTTCTTTATGACATTTTCACAGCTCATTGGTTTTTCATGTCTTCATCAGCTGGATCTGATCTATGTAAAAATAAACAAAATTAAAATTAAAATGCTGCTTTCATTAGAAAAATTATTCTGTATTATTATTCTGAATACGTTTATGAAGTCAAATGAAATTATGTCATCAAATCTGTTTAGTTCCTTCGCAGAAATATTACCAAATTTGGGTTCATTTCAGACATGACCATGGTTTGATAATCCAGAGAATCTTTACAGTTCTACATAATCCTGTTCCCTCCTCCCTTTTTTTCTTTGCTAATCCTGCCTGCTGTTGTTTCCAAATTGGACCTTACAGGAAATTAAAGTTAATAAAATCTAGGAAGCAGAAGCAATAGGGTGTGCAGAAGAGCAGAATAAGAAGCTTGTGAGAATACTCACAGTTCCCAATATGTTGACTAAATTTAGCCTTCCTGTTTTTATTTCCCTCTTAGAAGAGAAGGAAGAACAGATGAACCTCAAACAAAATGTTTTAGTATGCATGTATTAAAATTCCCACCCACCCCCAATTCCTTATAAAATCTAATTTTAGTCTTTGGCATCCTCCTCTTCTGATAATATGTAAAAAATTGAATTATATTAATAGCTTGGAAATGTATGCTTCAAGATGTGTATGAAGAGGTAATGTCTTCTGTACAAGTGCATGGCTTTGTAGAGTTTGCCACGTGTCACATATACTGAAAGCAATCTTTCCCTTATACAGTACTTTTTAAATCTGTAGGTGTAAAAGATATTTTGAAGGCAGAAGGAGAAGTTGCAAAAAACAAAACAAAACATTACTCTGCAAAAAAAACAAAAAACATATTCAACATTTTTATGGAGCTGCAGTGGATTTTAACCTTGGGTCTTTGTACAGTCCATCAGGTAAACACCCCCTCCCTGCTCTCTACTTCCAGTCTCTGCTGACATCTAGTGGTCTATAAAATACTTGAGTGAGCTCAGTAAAATAGAACATTTTCAAAAGCAGTGCTAAAGTTTTGGCCACTGGACTATGTAAAGGTTACAGACGTTCACCCTTAAATTAAAATGTATAAAGCCCAAACATTTATAAATTTTATGTATTATTTTTGCAATGTACTTTGAATCAAAGGTTGTAAACAGTGTGTACTGGTCAAAATCAAATGATTCATATGGAGTTGACTCCCATTGATTCAGTTGGTCTACTTGAATGAGATATATTACACCAAGCAACAGGATTTGGGCTGCTGTGTTTTATTCCAACATCCAAACCCAACAGTGCTCAGAAGTCTGCCTGGCAGAGCTAGCTGTGTTGTCCTGGAGTTGGTGCTAGAGTTATCTCAGCTTGTTGTGCTGGGACACTTAAACATTCCTGCTAAGACTATGCAATCAGCTCAGGACATTGTGTCTGCCACAATGGCCATGGGGGTATCTCAAATTATATCTGGCCCCACACACTCTGGACCTGATTTTTTGTATTGATGGGATGACTGTGATCTAGATATGCAGGAGCTCTGTTGTCACAGGCAGATGGCTACCTGGTAGGGTTCAGATTCACTGGGACTCGAAACATCTGCATGATGTGGGACCAATTAAGATGATCCACCTGAAAAAGCTGATAGATCCAAATAGTTTTCAAACAGCTCTTGGGGAGGTTCCTGCCACCTTAGCAGATGAACCTTTTGAAGCTCTTGTCGACCTCTGGAATGGGGAAATAAAAAGGGTGATAGACATCATTGTTCTTAGGTTCCCTTCCCAGGGAATGGAGCCAGGCTTGTTCCCCAGTTTACTAGGGAACTGGTGGTGACGAAGCAAATGGGACATAGACTAGAATGATGATGGTGGAAATCTGGGAACAAATCTTGACTACAAATCATTGAAAAACCTATTCTGTGGCAGTGTTGGCAGCGGAAAAAGTCTTTTGTCACCACTGTGTCTGTATAGAGTCATCTACTGGAGCTGCTTTGAGTCATTAGGGTCTATTATGATCTAATCTGCAAGAGGAGAATTTTAATCACTCAACAGCCTGCTGTGAACAATTTGCATGACAATCACTCTGATCAATTCTGACTCAGATGCTGGAGTAAATGGAGGTCCTGGGATGGGCCTGGAAGGCACTATGTTGCAGTAGCTCTAGTTTTTACTGGGGTGGGGTGTGGGCACACCCAGAATTTGGTGGTGAGGGATGTCTATTTGACCAATACCTTGGCTGTTGGTCTGTATTCCCTATGCTATTTGAGCATCTACATGAAATTGCTAGAATTCTCCAGTGGTTTGTGATTTATTGTCACCAGTATGCCAAGGACACTCAACTCTATCTCTCTTTTCCATTTAAATCCAAGGGAGCTGCCTCTGCCCTAAACTAGTGCTTGAGATTGGTAATGTACAACAGTGAACAAACTGAAGCTTATTCCAGGCAAGAAGCTCTTGGTCAGTGGAAAGGCAGATCAGGAAACAGAAATTCAACCTGTGCTGGTGGAGGTTACACTTCCTCTGAAAATTCAAGTTCATAGCTTGGATGTTATTTCTGAGCCAGGTTACCCAGGTCTCAGGAGTGGTCAGAAGTGTATTTGTACAATTAAAACTAGTGCACCAGCAGTGACCATTCCTTAAGAGGCCTGACTTGGCTATGGTGACACAAACCTTGGTTACTTCCTATTTAGATTACTGCAGTGTGACAGACTGCTGACGGAGATGGTTTGGAAACTTCAGCTGGCCCAAAATGCTCCAGACAGACTACTGACAGGCTGGCTACTGGATTATGTTACACCCACCCATCCTTATTACAACTTTTACTGGCTGCCAGTTTCTGTGCACTATTCAAAATACTGGTCATGGCCTTTAAAGTCCTTTATGGCCGAGCTCCAGGCTATCTGAAAGACTGGATCTCGGCCCCAAGAGTTTTAAGATCCTCAATGGAGCACCTTCTTTCAGCCTCACTACTTTCTCAAGCTTATCCGGTGAGGACTTAAAAGATGGTGGTTTCTTTGCCTGCTTCCAAATTATGGGACTCCCTTCTCTTCATTCCTTCTCTCAGCAATTGAAAATGTACCTTTTAAGAAAGGCCCTTGAGGTGAAGCAGTGATTTAAAATCTGATTCATCATTTTCAAATAATGTTTCTCAATGTTTGTATACATACTTTTGAGTTTTATTGGTACGTTTTTAGTTGTGGATTTAAAATATTTTTGTATACCAGTTTAGGATTCCATTAGGGAAGAAAGGTATAATAATTTTTTTATAAAAAATATATCATATCATATCATAACATATGGAAGACAATAATTCTTGTACTAATTGTTCATAATGATAGGCATAAAGGTGTGAATCAGAAATTTAAAGCAGTAAATATTTTATATTTTACACAGACTACAAGCAGCACTTTCGAAAATAATTTTAGTCTAAATTAATGTGCAAATTAGGAATAAACCTTTTTACTTTTTCTTTCCTTTTTTTGTTAGCTTAAAGGGAAGTTCTAATGAGAGAGAAAGAGAAGTGCAGGGAAAAAGAAGAAGAAACAAGGATCTAAAAGACAATGGTTGATAAGGATACTCACTGTGTAATTTGATCTGGTGGCAGAAATAGGTGGGAAAAAAAGCAAAATGTAATGGTGGAAAAGATTATAAAAGAAAAAGAAAAAGATTAATGGAAAAGAGAAGGTAAGAAAAAATGATGAAACATACCTTGAAGCCAATCTACACCTTCTTGCAATCCTTCGCCTTTAAGAGCATCACTTGCACTACAATGAATAAAGAACATTAAGTAGGACCAGAAGTAGATGACATACGTGTAACTGCTGCCAATGTGCTGCTTCTACTAGTAAAAGAAAATGTTTTACTGGCAACCTGGCACCTTAATAATTAGTTGCAGCAATTTATGCAAACACAAATAGGATTCTGACTATTATGCCCAGTTTTCTGCTCCATAACAGGTAGCTAAGGAAGTAAAGTGGGGGAGGGGACATCGAAACTCAAACTCTATTCAGTTGTGAGCCAGAACATAGAAAAAAGCAAGTTCTAATACATGTGGTGACTATATATGGAAACAACAGTTTCTTCCTCTTTGGACTGATAGCAAAGGGAGCAGAACTATTGCATACCCCTTATTGCATGTGTTGTCCACACAGTTTTAACACAATAGTGCTGTGTAACTGCTGCCAATGTGCTGCTTCTACTAGTAAAAGAAAATGTTTTACTGGCAACCTGGCACCTCAGTAATTAGTTGCAGCAAATTACGCAAACACAAATAGGATTCTGGCTATTATGCCCAGTTTTCTGCTCCATAAGAGGTAGCTAAGGAAGTAAAGTGGGGGAGGGGACATCGAAACTCAAACTCTATTCATTTGTGAGCCAGAACATAGAAAAAAGCAAGTTCTAATACATGTGATGACTATACATGGAAACAACAGTTTCTTCCTCTTTGGATTGATAGCAAAGGGAGCAGAACTATTGCATACCCCTTATTGCATGTGTTGTCCACACAGTTTTAACACAATTAATAGTGTAGAAAATGTTTTACTGGCAACCTGGCACCTCAGTAATTAGTTGCAGCAAATTACGCAAACACAAATAGGATTCTGGCTATTATGCCCAGTTTTCTGCTCCATAAGAGGTAGCTAAGGAAGTAAAGTGGGGGAGGGGACATCGAAACTCAAACTCTATTCAGTTGTGAGCCAGAACATAGAAAAAAGCAAGTTCTAATACATGTGGTGACTATATATGGAAACAACAGTTTCTTCCTCTTTGGACTGATAGCAAAGGGAGCAGAACTATTGCATACCCCTTATTGCATGTGTTGTCCACACAGTTTTAACACAATAGTGCTCTGTAAGTGTCTAATTCCAGTATCAAAGAGTCTTTAAATAGCTGAGACAGAACTGGTGAGATACCCACTGTGCTAGCACCATATTAAAATTCAATCAAAGAGTCTTTAAATAGCTGAGACAGAATTGGTGAGATACCCACTGTGCTAGCAGATGTCTGCTAACACCATATTAAAATTCAGTTAATACTCTTTACGTGCCAACATTATTTTAATTCTTTACCTTGATATTGGTATGGCAGAACAAGTGGTACTGGATCCTAAAGGTCATCAAATCCTTGTTAAGAGAGGGAGTAGTCCCTGCCCCATTAAAGGAGGCAGTGATTCGCCCACTCCTAAAAAAGCCTAATCTGGACCCAGATCTAGTGATCAACTATCAACCAGTGGCAAACCTCCCTTTTCTGGGCAAGGGGTTGGAATGTTTGGTGGCTGAGCAGCTCCAGGCTCTCCTGGATGAAACGGATTATCTAGATCCATTTCAATCAAGTATCAGACCGGGTTACGGGATGGAGACTGCCTTGGTCACCCTGTTTGACGACCTTTGCCGGGAGAGAGACAAGCGGAATGCATCCCTGTTGATTCTCCTAGACCTCTCAGCGGCTTTTGACACCATCGAGCATGGAGTCCTTCTGGACATATTGGCTGGGATGGGAGGCACCGTTTTACGGTGGTTCCACTCCTACCTGGCTGATTGGGTCCAGAAGGTGGTGCTAGGGGACAGTAGCTCTGATCCATGGCAGTTGCATCATGGGGTTCCTCAGGGCTCTATACTGCCCCCATGCTATTCAATATCTACATGAGCTGCCCAGAGTAGACTATGTCTAGATGGGCGGCATATAAAAGCAATAAATAAATAAGTAAGTAAATAAATAAATAGATGAAACCGATGGGGGAGGTCGTTAGGAGGTTTGGGCTGAGGAGTCAGCAATATACTGACGACACCCAGCTCTACCTCTCATTCTCTACCAATCCAGGTGTGGCAGTCGCTGTTCTGAACTCATGCCTGAACTCAATAATGGACTGGATGAGGGTCAATAAACTGAGGCTCAATCCAGACAAGTCAGAAGTGCTGCTGGTAGGTGCTCCGCCAGATAGGTTAAAGGGCAATTTCCCTGCCCTAGACGTGGTTACACTCCCATAGATTAAAGGGCAATTTCCCTGCCCTAGACGTGTTTACACTCCCCTTTAAGGACAGCATCCACAGCTTGGGGGTGCTCCTTGACCCGGGTCTGACCTTGGAAGCCCAGGTCGACTCGGTGTTCAGGGGTGCCTTCTTATAGTTGCGGAGAATATATCAACTTCGCCCTTACTTGGATGAGTGCAGCCTGGCAACAGTCACACATCATTGGTAACAATGGAGTACTGCAATGCGCTATATGTGGGGCAGCCTTTGAAGATGGTCTGGTGACTGCAACTGGCATAGAACCTGGCAGCGCGGCTAGTAAGTGGTGCTGCCACGCAGACTCATATCACGTTGGTTCTGAAAAATTTACACTGGCTGCTGGATGCTGCTCAGGCCCAATTCAAAGTGCTTACTTTGACATACAAAGCCCTAAACAGCTTAGGACCTGGTTATTTAAAGCACTGGTTCTTAACCTTGGGTTACTCAGGAGTTTTGGACTGCAACTCCCAGAAGCCTTCACCACCAGCTGTCCTGACTGGGGTTTCTGGGGGTTGCAGTTCAAAAGCATCCGAGTAACAAAGGTTAAGAACCACTGATTTAAAGGACTGCCTTCTTCCGTACGAGCCTGCCCATACTCTAAGATCACGCCAGGAGGCCCTTCTGAAGGTGGCATCCCTGAAAGAGGTGAGGAGGATGGCATGCCGAAATAGGGCCTTCTCGACTGTCCTCCCCCCCACTTTGGAACACCCTCCCTATAGAGAGCCACCTGGCTCCAACACTTTTGGCTTTTCGATGCCAGGCAAAGACCTTTCTGTTTAGCCAGGATTTTAATTAAATAGTATCCTTTAGCTGGCCGTATGAGCAGCAGGATTTATTAATGATAAATTGACTGTTTTAATATATGGTATTATTATAATATTACCTATTTTTAATGGTTTTAATGTTGTACACCACTCAGAGACCATTGGTAATGGTGTGGCTAAAAATCTTGTAAACAAACAAACAAACAAACAAATACAGACGTGAGACCACAACACATGTCAACAGATTATCTGTTCATCTATTGACTCTGCTATTTTGCATGTTATGTTATTCTTTGAAAATCAAAATTAGAGTGCTAATTGATATGAGAGTAAACATATGCAGTGTTCATTATATGTAATGAAGCAACAATACCCAATCAACTTCCTTAGAATTTTCTCCTTAGTGTTTGCAAAGGAGAACAGGCATTTAGGTAGATTTATCAGAAAGCGTGAGCTACTGAAGGACCAATCCAAATCTTTTACCCCATTACTCTTTGAAATGTATTATGCAACCTTCTACATCTACAATAACAATGGGGTGGACAGGATCAAAATAATGCATGTGCTTAGACCTATGGAGCAGATGGTGAGCAGGAATAGGATTTCTACCATGTCTACCACTTCCCTCTGACTAAATGAGGACTCCTAATCCTTTTAGCTAAAGAAAACTTAGTAGGCTAAGCGCCTGTAAATAGTTTAGTAACCAAGTAGTTCATGATGATGAGTTTTCTGTTAGGTATTTGAGATGTGTAAGTTTGGGGAGGGGCACCTTTTGTTCTCATTCTGTACAAATATTACAGGATTTGAAATGTTTTTATTCATCCCGATATTGCTGAATGCATAGTTTTCAGAATAAAATAGATAATGAATTATACACAGATTTGTTAGATAGCACAAATGGACAGCTTTTTCAGTTGCCAGATGTCTCATAATGAGCAGAACAAACATTTTTCCAATGAATAGAGGTATCAAATAGAGAAAATTGCAAAAATATTCAACATGAAAGAAGGTTAGTCTAAAGATTTGTTTCTATGTCAAATCAAAGAAAGATCATACAGCAGAGGACAGAAGCATGGCAATGGGCAGTGGATGCAATTAGAATACATATGGAAGACTGCATTACAAGGGAATTAATAGTACTTGGGTTTAGAAGTGTACCTAATATCTTACCATAACAACCACAGATATATATTTCATTCAAATAAGAAAGACAATCTGAGAATAGGCAGGAAAATTTCACACTATTTACTACTGTAATTCACTTTTTGGTAGAGTAATGGGCTAGCTAAACATTCTACAGGTACTTAATACATTACATGAATATTACTTCAGCTGAGTCCAACAGGCTTTGCAGTAGGTGTGTCTTTAAAGATAGTGAAAAACATCCATTGATGCTTTCAGAAGAGTACTAGTGGAAGCACACTACATTGGTTACCCTGGTTGCCAGTGCATGTCTGGGCTGAATTTAAAGTGCTTCAAACCTTTACATTGTTTAGGGCTACATTACTTGAAGGACTACCTTTACCCACATTAACTTCCTTGCATTTTGCAATCAGTTTTCAAAGCCCTGCTATCATTTTTGCTACTTAAGAAAAGCATGCTGCTAACCATTAGGAAGCAGATTTTCACAGCTGTAGACTCACAGTGGTGGACCCACAGTTGTGGAATACATTGCCAACTTGTCACTATAGGCCTTTTAAGAGTTAGTTGTCGTCTCTGAATTTTTACTAAAATATAAGCGCTTGTGATGGGTTACTGTAGTGAGATGGTTTCAGTACTTTTTTCAGCGCTTGTGATGGGTTACTGTAGTGAGACGGTTTCAGTACTTTTTTCTATTTTTCTATTTTCTCTTGTTTAAGTTTTGTAACTTGTGGATTTTGAAAAGCTGGTTTATGAATGGTTAATTTTGCATGGATGTTTGCTAATTTATTGTTGTGTTTATATGATCCCTTGGAAGCTATATATTGTATATAAATACTTTGATGGAATTAAATTTAGAAACAAATATAACCTCAAGCATGAATTCCTCTTATGGTTTTAACCATACTATAATTTGTTAAGTTTCAGTCCATGTATGTAATCTGGCCCCAATAACAACAAGCTTTTGCAGTTTCTACAACTATGTACTACTATGTATGCCACTTGAATAAAAGAGCACTTCATGATACCAAAGTCAGTAGTTTAAACATTCCAGACCAATGGAAATACAAAACAATTGTATGCCAATTTTACCAGATATGCCATGGCTTGTCTTTGATGTTTTCCAATGCTAGTAAGTGAGAAACCTTTACAGAAGACACAGCATCTCTGAGGTCCATCTTGTTTGCAAAGAACAAAATTGGTATTCGTCGATGCTTAAGATCTAGGAGTAAAACAAGATTTTGCTAAATTTGTCACAATTTACAGAAGACAAACTTTGAGAAAGAAGATGGATACATATCTTGCTTAGCTGCATCCTAGTAAAATGCACATTCTTTAAAGAAGATGGATACATATCTTGCTTAGCTAAAATGCACATTCTTGGGCCACAGTGACTCATGTGCCTGTTTCTGTGAGTTCTGAAAGTAATATTCCCCAAACTTAAACAGATGTTCAAGGCTAGCTGCATCCTAGTAAAATGCACATTCTTTGGCCACAGTGACTCATGTGCCTGTTTCTGTAGAGTTCTGAAAGTAATATTCCCCAAACTCAAACAGATGTTCAAGGCTGCAGGTGCAAATTGTTTATAATGGAAATCCCCTATGCATCATCATAAACTCTCTCTTCAAATTAAAGTCGTACTAAGCAGGTCTTCATCAAGAATTAATCAAAGGAGCTAAGGAGATGATTCAGGGATGCAAAGTCTACTATTAAATGGTGGCACACCTATATGCAATAAGAATCCACATGAACAAGTCAACTTACTACAGACAGCATCTGGCCATTGTTACAAGCAAGGTTTTGATTTCTTAAAAAAAGAAAGATATTAAGCCTGCCCCAGATCCATGCCACTTGCCTTGGTAAGCTGGTTTCCCGAGCAGTTACTGTTGCTCGGTGATAAAGGAAAGGCACACAGAGACACTTTTTATTACTGTTATTACATCAGAGTCTGGACTCTGGCATAAAAAAATAGATTTTAGTACTGAATTCTGGTGTAAATTTACATTTAGGTTAAAAGACTCAGTATACCAAAGTACTGATCTTAATAAGCATAAATGATGTTCCCAGAATGCATGGGAATTTCAAAAGCAGAGGTCTTTCCCTTGCACACATCTACAAACAATGCATATTTAGGACATGGACAACAAACCATATTATGCTGGAAGCAGAGCCAGAGGTATGGCCCTACAGCTCCTTTTTCCAAGTAAAGGAAGCTGCTGTATTGTTGGTATAAAAAACACAAAATTAACAATAGTTTAAATAGAAAATAATGTATTGTATTAAAATTGTTCCCAAGTTGTCCCACAGCTCATTCAGAAGAATCCTAACTGATACCACTTCCTGCCTGCAATCCTATTGCAAAGTTTCAAAAGCAAAACCATTGATATGCATTTTTGTTACACCCTACTCACCCCATTTTTCAACAGCACATAAATAGGAGGTGGGAACATGAGTTAGCTCTTGCTAGTAAAAGGAACAAGCCACAAGTAAAAAATTCACTAAGCCACAAAAATAATGTTCTCCATTTCCTTTTTGTATTTTAGTTTTCTAATTATTAAAAGGCATTTTATTACTTTAGCTCTTACTGCCTTCAGTTCAAATCAGAGGGTTGGGTTTAATGTTTATTGTATTAATTTTGAATTAAATCAGTTCCATAGTTGTGACATTTTTAAATAGAAAAATATGCCACAGGACTGGGAAACCTGTGACTCTCCAACTGTTGGACTGTCACAGGTTTCCCAGTCCTGGGCAGCACAGATAATGGTGAGGAGTAAGATGAGCCACATTTGACCAACATCTGGAGGACAACGCCGCTAAGTCTTTGTGTGTATTATGTGCTGTCAAGTCAAAACTGACTTGGAACAAACCCAATAAGGATTTCAAGGATATATCCGGAATGTATTCGCGAAGGCTTTCACGGCCGGGATCTAATGGTTGTTGTGGGGTTTTTTGGGCTCGTTGGCCGTGTTCTGAACACGACCAAAGAGCCTGAAAAACCCACAACAACCATATATCTGACATCTTAGTTGGTCACCCTCTCCACTACACCACATTGGGTGTCTCAATTTTGGTACAGCTACCAAAATTCTTTAATTCAACTCCTACCAGGAAAAGAATTGTTTTACACTGAAGACAGTTCATAGGATTAAAGCAAAGGATAAAGGGTCTCCTCACCTGGATGATTCAAGAGAGTGTCAAGTTCTTCTTTGGCCACAACCATTCTTAGTTTGTCACTGCTATCAATGACAAAAATAATGGCCTGGCAATCTCTGTACAACATAGAAAGCAAAAGAATGTATTACCGGTTCTCTAAAATAATGAATAGCAAAGTAAGTAGTCAGAATTCTACTACAATTATATATTGTTTTATTTTATTTTACAATTTATCAATGAAAGTACCACTTTTGTATCGGTGGGGAAGTATCTCAAAGCAGAAGATGGTAGTTCCACAGTTCTTTAGACCAGACTACTTCCCCAGTTTCAAACTTGAACAAAGTTCACAGCAATGCATTAAAAGAAACCATCCAACCAATCACTGAATGCAAGAGTGCAAATTTCAAATACACAGACAAATTTAAATTATAGGTAAAGGTAAAGGTTCCACATGACATTTAGTCCAGTCGTGTCCGACTCTAGGGGGCGGTGCCCATGCCCGTTTCCAAGCCATAGAGCCAGCATTTGTCCGAAGACAGTTTCTGTGGTCACATGGCCAGCTCAATTAGACACGGAACGCTGTTACCTTCCCACCGAGGTGGTACCTATTTATCTACTCGCATTTTACATGCTTTTGAACTGCTAGGCTGCAGAAGCTGGGACAAGCGACGGGAGCTCACTCTGTTGTGTGGATTCGATCTTATGACTGCTGGTCTTCTGACCTTGCAGCGCAGAGGCTTCTGTGGTTTAACCCACAGCATCACCACATCCATTTTATTTAAATTATAATAACATATAATTATATGCTACCAAGTCAATTCTAATGTACGGTGACTGCCATTTAAAATAATTTGTATTACTGTCCATTAAGAGCCAAATAACTGGAATATACCTCTAGGCTTAAATCACCCCTTTTGATATTTGAAAGTATTTATTCTAATATATCAGCCAATAATCTATAAAAACAGCACTTTAGGCCAAGTAAACACTCAAAACACAACCAGTTACAAAACTGGTAAGTCAAGAAAAGCCTTGAAAAAATGTTTAACTGAAGGAAAAATACAGCACAGAGCAAGGAAAAGCAGGCATGCATGCTCATACCATATATATATACACCATCTAAAAAGCTAATAATAATAATAGATTGATTGACAGACAGACAGACAGATAGATGTAGAAAGCTAAAAATGATATCCCACAGCACAATTTGGTCTTTGAGTTATCCCATATGTGCAGTAACTAAACATGTATAATTGGATTATCTCCAATAAACTGTTTCAGGTTTTTAATCATTGCTGTTTCTATTTGAATCAACTGCTTTCTTACTTATACTCAGTCCAAATTAACAAATGACCAAAGGAATAAAATTAAATAATGAAATCTGTGAGTACCACACTACTATTTCTTCATATTTGTTCTTATCAACTTCTTATTTCTTGCAACATGATTTTTTTTTACCACTGAACACAAAACAACCAAAATTATGGTAGAAAAAGAAGGCAGAACCCCAAAAACTGTAACGGGGGGGGGGAAACTATTTTTAAAAAGAAAGGTTACTTACAGTACCTGTAACTCTGGTTCTTTGAGTGGTCATTTGTGAATTCACACTATAGGGTTAATCTGTGCTTGCGCAGAAGTTCCTGGAATATTCTAGAGCTTTATCACATGTTTGTCAGGATCGCCCCATAGTACATGTGGTCTGCCCATCCCTGAGGCTGCCTCAGTTCCTAAGAACAGCCCGCTGCTGTGCAATAAGACAGATGTGACGGACAGAGGGGAGGACAGGTGGGAAGTGTGAATTCACAGATGACCACTTGAAGAACCAGAGTTACAGCTAAATAACCTCTCTTCTTTGTGGCCTCTCTGAATGCACACTATAGGGTGATTAACAAGCTGACTTATCGGAGGAGGGATGTCACAGAAGGATTGATGAGAGTACAGCTCTGCTGAAGGCCACATCCGTCTTGGCTCTAACATCAAGCCAGTTCGTTCGTTCGTTTAGTCGTTTAGTTGTGTCCGACTCTTCGTGACCCCATGGACCAGAGCACGCCAGGCCCGCCTATCTTCCACTGCCTCCCGGAGTTGTGTCAAATTCATGTTGGTTGCTTCGCAGACACTGTCCAGCCATCTCATCCTCGGTCGTCCCCTTCTCCTCTTGCCGTCACACTTTCCTAACATCAAGTTTTTTTCCAAGGAGTCTTTTCTTCTCATGAGATGGCCAAAGTACTGGAGCCTCAGCTTCAGGATCTGTCCTTCCAGTGAGCACCTAGGGTTGATTTCCTTTAGAACTGATAGGTTTGTTCTCCTTGCAGTCCAGGGGATTCTCAAGAGCCTCCTCCAGCACCACAATTCAAAGGCATCAATTCTTCAGCGGTCTGCTTTCTTTATGGTCCAGCTCTCACTTCCATACATCACTACAGGAAAAACCATAGCTTTGACTATTCGGACTTTTGTTGGCAATGTGATGACTCTGCTTTTTAAGATGCTGTCAAGATTTGTCATCGCCTTCCTCCCAAGAAGCAGGCATCTTTTAATTTCGTGGCTGCTGTCTCCATCTGCAGTGATCATGGAGCCCAGGAACATAAAATCTGTCACTGCCTCCATGTCTTCCCCTTCTATTTCCCAGGAAGTGATGGGACCAATGGCCATGATCTTAGTCTTTTTGATGTTGAGTTTCAGACCGTTTTTTGCACTCTCCTCTTTCACTCTCATTACAAGGTTCTTTAATTCCTCCTCACTTTCTGCCATCAGAGTGGTATCATCTGCATAGGCGAAGCAAAGGTGGACGGAGTCGACCAGGTGGAAGCCTTGCATATATCAGGAATAGGTACAACTCTGTGGAAGTAGCAACAGCCCTTGTGAAGTGTGCAGTAAGGTGTGATGGCAAAGGCTTACGGACAGGCTAGTAAGCCAGACATATTGTTGCCATAATCCAGTGAGAAATGGTCTGAGAGGAAATACACGATCCCCTATTAGGTAAATGTGGAGTAACGAAAAGTCTGTTGGATTTGCGGAAAGAGGAAGTTCTGTTTATGTAAAACGCAAGGGCCCACTGAATGGGTAGCAATCGTTCGAGGTCGTTGGATGGCGATAGGGAAAAAAGATAGGTTGTTTTAGATGAAATTCAGAGAAAACTTTTGGTAAAAAGGAGACATCTGGATATAGAATGACTTTGTCCAGGTGAAGCTGGAGGTAAGGTGGGTCTATTTGGAGGGTGGAGAGTTTGCTTGCGGGCAGAGGTGACAGCAACAAGAAATAAGGTTTTGAATGACAGAAGGCGTTCAAATGTAGTCACTAGTGGTTTGAAAGGAGGTAAAGTAAGACAGCATAGGACTCTGTCCTTTGAAATTCTACTTTACATCATTTTATAAAACAGCAATGTTGTCATTAAATCATGTCCGACTCTTCGTGACCCCATGGACTAGAGCACGCCAGGCCCTTCTGTCTTCCACTGCCTCCCGGAGTTTAGTCAAATTCATGTTGGTAGCTTCGATGACACTGTCCAACCATCTCGTCCTCTGTCGTCCCCTTCTCCTCTTGCCCTCACACTTTCCCAACATCAGGGTCTTTTCCAGGAAGCCTTTTCTTCTCAATGGCCAAAGTATTGGAGCCTCAACTTCAGGATTTGCCCTTCCAGTGAGCACTCAGGGTTGATTTCCTTCAAAATGGATAGGTTTGTTCTCTTTGCAGTCCAGGATACTCTCAAGAGGCTCCTCCAGCACCACAATTCAAAAGCGTCAATTCTTTGGTGCTCAGCCTTCTTTATAGTTTAGCTCTCACTTTCATACATCACTACTGGAAAAACCATAGCTTTCACTATGCAGACCTTTGTTAGCAAGACAATGTCTCTACATTTTAAGGTGCTATCTAGATTTGTCATCGCTTTCCTCCCAAGAAGCAGGTGTCTTTTAATTTCATGGCTGCTGTCACCATCTGCAGTGATCATGGAGCCCAAGAAAATAAAATCTGTCACTGCCTCCATATCTTCCTCTTCTACAGTAGTGCCTCGCATTACGATGTTAATTCATTCCAGCGAAATCGTTGTAGAACGAAAACATCGTAAAGCGATTTTTAAAAGCCCATAGAAACACATTAAAACCCGATTAATGCATTCCTATGGGCTTGAAACTCACTGTTCAGTGAAGATCCTCCATAGCACGGCCATTTTCGCTGCCCGTGCAGTGAGGAATCCGTCCCAGAAAACAGCGGGTGGCCATTTTTTAACGCAGCAACCATTTTGAAACTGTTGATGAACTGTGCAAAAATCTTCATTTTGCGATAATCGGTTAGCGAAGGAGGTAACCAACCGATCATCACAAAGCGAAAAAACCCCATAGGAAACATCGTTTTGCAATCGCTTTTGCGATCACAAAAATTCTTCGTTATGCAATTTCATCATTAAACGAAGCGCTCGTCTTGCGAGGCACCATTGTATTTGCCAGGAGGTGATGGGACCAGTGGCCATGATCTTAGTTTGTTTGATGTTGAGCTTCAGAACATTTTGGTACTCTCTTTCACCCTCAATATGAGGGTCCTTAATTCCTCCTCACTTTCTGCCATCAGAGTGGTATCATCTGCATATCTGAGGTTGTTGATATTTCTTCCGGCAGTTTTAATTCCGGTTTGCATATAAGTTAAATAAGCAGGGGGAAAATATACAGCCTTGTCGTACTTCTTTCCCAATTTTGAACCAATCAGTTGTTCCACGTCCATTTCTAACTGTTGCTTCCTATCCCACATAGAGATTTATTAGGAGATAGATAAGGGGGTCAGGCACTCCCATTTCTTTAAGAACTTGCCATAGTTTGCTGTGGTCCACGCAGTCAAAGGCTTTTGCGTAGTCAATGAAGCAGAAGCGGATGTTTTTCTAGAACTCTCTGGCTTTCTCCACAATTCAGTGCATGTTAGCAATTTGGTCTCTAGTTCCTCTGCCCCTTCAAAATCCAGCTTGTACTTCTGGGAGTTCTTGGTCCACATACTGCTGAAACTTAACTTGTGGGATCTTGAGCATAACCTTGCTAGTGTGTGAGATGAGTACAATTCTATGGTAGTTGGAGCATTCTTTGGCATTGCCCTTCTTTCGGATTGGGATGTCGAACAATCTTTTCCAGTCCTCTGGCCACTGCTGAGTTTTCCAAACTTGCTGGCAAATTGAGTGTAGCACCTCAACAGCATCATATTTTAAGATTTTAAATAGTTCAACTTGTATGCCATCACCTCCACCAGCCTTGTTGTTAGCCGTGATTTCTAAGGCCCACTTGACTTCACTCTCCAGGATGTCTGGCTCAAGGTCAGCAACCACGCTATCTGGGTTGTCTGGGACATCCATATCTTTCTGGTATAATTCTTCTATGTATTTTTGCCACCTCTTCTTGATGTCTTCTGCTTCTGTTAGGTCCCTACCATCACTTACAAAACAGCAATAGTCCTCTCCAAATTTTAAGAGCATATAAGTTATATACAAGAGCTGTACTCTCCTGTTTATATATTGAAGCCATTATTATTAAAAAGTGCTACAACAGGCCCTTTTACTGGTGTGTTAATAATCCTGATGCAAGAACAACTACTTGACTTTTTCATACCCCTACCTCCGCAATATCCTCCCCATAATCCTTTCTCATATCCCTACATCCCCAATATCCTCCCCATAATCCTTCATTACTTACAGCAGCGGTCCCCAACCTTTTTGTGGCCACGGACCAGTTGGGGGGAGCAAGCTCCTTGTGCAGGGGATGGGGGAACCCCTGCGTTCACATGGTAGGCATGTTTGTGAGTGCGACACGCCTCCCGCAGGCACAACACATACACCACATGAGCGCGACACACCCACCGCGCAAGCATGCAGGGGGGAGATCCGTATCCGCGGCCCAGTTCCGGGAAGCCCACGGACCGGGACTGGGTCGCAAATCAGGGCTTGACGACTCCTGATTTACCATGAAGATTTTATTGCTATGCAACATATACATCAGCAACTTATTTGTGAGGTACATACAGCTTTTATATCTGCGTGACATTTCCACACCTGAACTTTTACATTCATATTATAAATACTGGAAAACTCTGGAATACTGAATTCTGCATTGTTCCGGCCTGGTAAGGTTATTCTAGTTATACAGAAGCATCATAATCATATTACTCCACAACTTCTCAAGCCAAATAATTAAAATAAATTTCATACAGAAAATATTAAATACTTAAAGTTTTTGATTGTGTTAGAACTAAAGACGACTTACTTGTAGTAATGCTCCCACAGATTTCTGTACCTGCCTTGACCTGACATATCAAATACAGTGAACGACAAACTGCAAGAAACAGTAAATCATAAAATTAAAACTGAAACACATTTAATGTAATCCTATGTAAAATCTCTGTGCCTACTCAACACAATAGTCTTTATTTCTCAGTATGTATTTCATAAAAAGTTTTGGGTAGCATATTAGTTTACTCAAGGTTTTGAGTGAACTTTCAAACTTACATAATCCTATACACATCTGTAGAGTCCTCTCCGGAATGGAACACACCTTCACTTAATATGCATCAGATTGCACTGCAAAGATCAACATCAGCTTTTGCAGTAATGAACATTTGTTGTTGTTGTTTAGTCGTTAAGTCATGTTCGACTCTTCGTGACCCCCACGGACCAGAGCACGCCAGGCCCTCCTGTCTTCCACTACCTCCTGGAAATTTAGTAACAAAATTTATGTTTGAACCTGAATTTTCTATAAAAACCCAGAATATTGGGAAAAAATTTCCACTGAATTTAGGGTGTGATCAGATGGTGAGAAAGGTATGTGTGACTGTACCAGAGAGGGTCTCTCTGTGATCTCCCTTGAAGTGGGCCTTCCGTCCACTGAGAAATCACTCCAGCCAAGCCCTCCTCCCCCCAAAAATAGTAGTCCTATTGCTGGCTTGAAATGGTGCAGCTTCGGCACAAATCGGGGATGGGCTGGAGTGCTATTGTGGGGAAGTAGCTCACACCAAACTGTTCTACAACTGTCCAAAATGTGAGCCCATGTGATCATACCCTTAGTGAGACTTACATTCAAGTTATCAAGCTTATATGTGAGCACGTCAAGAAACCACAAACAATATACAAATAACATACCGTATTTTTCGCTCCATAAGACGCACAGACTTTCCACCCCCCTGTTTTGTGGGAAAAAAGTGAGTCTTATGGTGCAAAAAATACAGTAATACTCTATCAAGATCTCCACTATCTTTACTTGTTCATCTTGATGATTCATAAGTTCCAAACAATAATAGACTCAATAATACACGTTGAATGCTAAAATGGCTCACTTCCAAATAAATGCACACTGAATTCATGCTCTTAGCAGTTTTTTATGCTTTCACATGCCTTTTTGCTATAGCACAGTGCATGATGTTCAAAGTAAGAATGTTGAACATTTCAGATGATATGCCTGAGCTCCCAGTTGCAGCTTGGAGCCTCAGAACATTTCCTTTTAGCTCCTCCACACACTCATCAACTTTATTTGACAAAAACTGACAGAACACTGAAAGACATCAGAATTTCGCACAGTGTCCTTTTCAAGTCAACAGACAACTTATTCATATAGTTCTAAATGTTTGCAACTTGTGAACAACAGGGTTCTCATAACAAAGATACAATTACAGGTAGCATAGGATGAAGATATGACAATTCAAATGTTTTCACCAGTACACCCCACTAGAAAGCTTGTTCTCTAATACACAAATGTATAGCTTATTAAACAGGATATCCAAATGAAAAAGGTTCTACCTTGATGTCTTGAATTTTTCTATAGTAAATCCTATTGTGGGAACAATATCTTGGGTCTGAGCCTAGAAAGGACACAAATTTATCTTAAAAACAACAGCATAATTTAAAATGAGCAACTCTTCAGTTCTCCCTGATCCAAACAACACTGCAAGGATCAGGTGCAATCATATAATGATTCTTAGAAAATTTATGTTATGCAGTGATGTCTCCAATAGAAAAAAAAACACAAAAAGAAAGGGGTTATGAATAAATGAAATATTTTCTTTTAAAATTTGGCTCTCTGATTCTTATTACACAGAACTGCAACTCTGCATGGTTTTTCTAAAATTCAACTTGAATTCAAAATCAGCAGTCTATCACTTAAAGCATATCATACAGTGGTGCCTTGACTTATAAACATCCCTACTTACGACCATTTCGAGTTACAACCAGCTCCGGCTTATGAACAGAAAAAGGCAAGGAAAAATGTGAGAAATTCAAATTTCTAACTGTAGGTGGCGATGAGGCTGCTTCTTTGTAGCTCTTTCGCCCCAGCAGAGTGTGCGTCGGAGGCGGCTTTGGACTGCCTCCTTCTGCTTCTGAGTGAGTGTGTGTGTGTGTTTGCAAGGAGGCTTTGAGCTGCCTGGTAAGATAAGGTGCTGCTTTTTGCTTTTTAAAAACTGTTCTGGGTGTTTTTGCAGCGTGGTTTTGAGCTTGGGGGGTTATGTTTCTGTACTGTGATGGGTCTTGGGGGGTTTGTTTTTTGGTTCCCCCATTTCAGATGGGTCTTGGGGGTGTTGCTTTTGGGTTTTCCCCCCATTTCTGATGGTTCTTGGGGGGGCTTGTTTGTTTGGGTTGTTTTCCCATTTCCGATGGGTCCTGCATGCTTCCCTTGCTTTTTCCTTTGTTTTCTTTGCATTTCTGACCTGCGCCCTTTGTTCTCTGTGCATTTCCAAACTGCTGCATGTGTTTTCTGTGCATTTCCAATGGGCCTTGCATGCTTGATTGCTATTCTCCCTCCCCCCCGCCAAAAGGGATTAATCGTGTTTCCAATGTCTTGCAGTGATTTTTTTTTGTGATTTTTTTCTTCGGCCGGAACACATTAATGGGGTTTCAATATATTTCTATGGGAAATGGTGCTTCGACAGACCATCCAATGGTTTCCAATGGAGAAAATTCAAAAAATCATCATAAATTAACGAAGTGTCAGAACAACACCAAAATCAGTTTGCATAGGTTTCAGGAGGTGGACTAACCATTGCAATCATTTAAAACAGTGTCCAAACATTGTAAGACACTTTTACAGGAGCGAAAAAGGACTTCGCAAAGGCATTGAAATGTATTGAGTCGGCTTCAATACATTCCAATATAGGAAACATTGTTTCACTCAATGATGTTTCCTATGGGGATTTTCACTGAACGATGGCAATCCGTTCCAATTGGAACGGATTAACCGGTTTTCAATGCATTCCTATGAGAAATGGTGTTTCACAGAACGATGTTTCACACAACGTTGATTTTTTTGGAACCAATTAACATCGTTGTGTGAGGCACCACTGTATGTGGGAACTGAAGACACTTTTGGTATCTTCAGAAGCGCCTTAACATGTGAAGACATTTTAGATGCTCCAAATATTTTAAAGATTGAAGGCAGTCTATCTTAACTCAGAAGGAAAATTATGCAACTGAATTTTATCTTGCAATATTAGCTGTTTATAAAATTGCATTATAAGTTTAGGGTGCTTCTAATTTATGTGTGCATGTATGTTTTCTACCTTACTAACCATGGATTCAAATTACAAAATATAGCATTTCACCTTCGAATTTTCTGACATAGAGCACTATTTGACAGTGGTATGAACTATATCAGAATATCAGAAAATGATGGAGTTTCCTTTGGTGGTGGTTTTTAAGGAACGATTTGATGACAATTTATCAGGTATGCTTCAGCTGTTTATTTTGTACACTGCCAGGAGTAGACTTAATGACCCACTGCCAGCTTTATAATTATAGAATCCTATTCTAACCTGTTTCCCTGAAAATAAGACCTAACCTGAAAATAAGCCCTAGTCTGATTTTTCAGGATGCTCGTAATATAAGCCCTACCCCAAAAGACCTAATATCTTTATTCCTATCTGTTTCTTAAAAGCCAAAAGCATTAGAAAAATGATTTAATTTGAAAGCACAAATATGATAAAAAATCAGGTTAAATAGTATTTATTAAAGGTACATATACATATATGAGAAAATGTGTGTATTAGCAGATTTTCCTTCCTGTTTGCTACCAATAGCTAAAGCACACGCAGAATCATCCAGAGGCCAAAGCAACAACTAAACTAAGCAAAAATAATTTTGAGTTTCCATCCAAAATATATACTGTATTGTATATTACATTATAGTTTACTTTCAATCTATTTTTTACTTAATCCTTTGAGAAAAAAACTTGGCATAGCAGGTTTGTTTTATTTTTGGTATTTTCATTGCATTTCTTCTTTCAGCTGCACTATGCTGAACCGTATTAAACTGAAGGAAATTTTGTTTGACTACTCTGGACTGCTAAAGTTGCGTTCTTCATCTCCCTTATTAGAAAATACTGGCATATACTTCTGTTTAAATATTTGTAGGATTGCGCTGCAAATTACACGTAGTTGGAACATATGACAATTCTCATTAAAATACACATTTTAGTATTGTGATGCATATCAAAAATTAATGTAACAAAGTGATCTGTCCATACACACAATATCTTAAATGTTAATATCCTAACGTTGAACACAGATTTTTTTACAGATCTATCCAATGACAAGAATTAGTTTCTCAGCAGAATTTGTCAAACTGTGGATTGCATTGAAATGACTACTTACATTAGAAGGTTTCAGCTTGTTAATAATAGTTGTTTTGCCACTATTGTCTAATCCAAGGCACAAAACATGAACTTCTTTCTTCTTCAGGCCAAGCCAGCCTGCTAGTTTGTCAAACAATCCCATAATTTTGAGTGAATGGCACAAACAAAGCTGGTATCTGAGAAGTTGCCTATTTGAAAAAGTTGAAATTAGAAAATGTCCGGAGACATTAAAGACAAAACCATTGTGAGAGAAAATGGTTTCAAACAGTGTCACAGGAGGTTGGTTAATATAAGTAATTAGAAGATAAGCTGATTATTTCGGAAGAGTCTTCTTGTCAAGCAGTCTGACTACTTATTGCTCTGCCTAAAACAGCGTTATCTTAAGGTTAGTGGACAACTGTGAATTCAGTGCAACAAGATGCATAAATCTATTTAAAATATAAGTTATTTCTAATGCCATTAACACCTTGTAATTACATAATAAAAGAATGGGAAAAAAATCTGTGTATAACCAAAGCTGTGCTGCTCAAAACTGTGCAATTAAAGGGAGAAGTGTAGATACTGTATCATGTTTCTGCTGAGCTACTTTTATCACAAACATGAGATAGCTGGGCGCAACTAAGGTCAAAAGAAATAGCTCAGTTTTTCCTTAACAAGTTCCCACCTATGGGAAGAATATATCTACAGTGCTATAGGAGACAGCATAAACCAGTCACCCTAGGGTAGCACCATTCTTGAAGAAACCAAAAAGTTCTGACAACTTACACGTGAAACAGCAATATTTTCCAACCGGTTTTTAGTAAGAACCATAAATAAAATCGCCCAACATTCTGTGTTAAAAGACCAGCAGTAATAGCCATCTTGTTTATTTCTCTTGCATGCCAGAGCAGAGCCTGAGCATCAGGCCAGCAACCCTATGCCTGTGTAAGAGACGAGGAAACCCCAATAACGAACAGCTTCCTTTCAAACAGAACCGCGGCCTCCGCCTGCCATCCTCCGACAGGCTCGGCAGATAGTAAATGATCCAGCTCTGAAGAGTCAGGTGGGGCAGCAGTGCCTAGTAGCCACTTCAGATGGGGAAGGCCCCGGTTCAAAATTCCGCCTCAGTTCGGGGACAGAACCTAAGGAAAGCCCCCTTGTCCTTCTCAGCCCAATTTAATTACCTCACAGGCATCTCGCAAGGGAGGGAGAGAAGAGGCTGCTCTCAATATCTCAGACGAAAAGCACGACACAATAATAACAATAATTTTTATTATTAATCTCCAAGCCGGGGCAAAACTCTTCAGCTCAGCCCATGCTGAGGGACTAAATATTCTAACACACACACACACACACACACACCAGCGCCTCTCTTTTCCTATCACTTCCTACGGGGGGGGGAAGGAACCCCCAAGGATACTCACGCAGGAAAGCCGTCAGCTTGGCCTTGAGAGAACGACCTCCAGCCTCCGGACGCTTGCGTCGTTGCCTAGGTAACAGAATCTCTTCCCCCCGCCGCCGCCGCCGCCGCCACGCCTTCTGTGGGATGGAGCGCTCTTTCCGCACCTTCTCATTGGCTGTATTATTTCAATAGTCCTCCGCGCCGCAAGGGACTGCTATCGCCGTGAAGGGCCGAGGGGGGGCGGAAAGACACCATAGAATAATAGAGGAGACCGTCACGACGCAGGTGGAACCTTTAAAGCAGACGCGCTCAGCGCAAGCCCCGGCATTCTCAGCTTGCCTGTCAGTCAGAGCTCATCCTGCGATAGCTCCGGTGGAACGGCAGAGGCCGCCACAATCCAAAACACAAAGGACTAAAGCGGCCGCCTGACAAAGTCCCCAAAGAGGGGAAGATGGAAAGAGGAGGAGTTCCCTCTGGGAGTGACTAGTCAGGATCATGTCCTTTTCCCAAGAGGAAGCAGGCAGGCAGCAAGGAAGATTGGAGCGTCTACAGTGTTGCTCAAGGCTTCACTTCGTCGTTTAGCGCTGAACTGGGGCGGAAAGGTGTCTGAGGAAACAGTTTAAATAGCGGGAACTTATTTGTGCCCCATGGCGTTGCCATGAGCTCAAGAGCTCCATGGTTTCTGTAGTTTAGGCTGTGGGCAGAGATGGGATCGATGATCCCGTAAAGAAAAAAAAACCATGTGAATCCCTGGGGATGCATGCATTGGATCCATGTTTTAGCATTACCATGCAGCAATGAACCCGTGATTTCTGTGGTTTAGTCAATGGGCACAGATGGGCTCTCTCATCTGAAGTTGGTTTGGGGAAAATCCCAAGTAAAAATCATGTGGATCCCTGAGGATATGAACCTTAGATCCACGTTTTTATGCCACTGAAAAGCTGTGTCGCAAATGGTTTGTGATTTCTGTGGTTTATTCTGTGAGCCTGGATTTGGTACTGTGGGTACTGGGATTCAATAGTGGTTTGGAGAGAATTCAGTATAAAAATGGTAGGAAATCATTGGGATCTGTGCTTTGAGCCATGTTCTTGAGTCATCGTGAACTCTACTGGTCTGTCCAGGCAGCCAGGAATAGACATTAGAGAGCATAATTAGAGCTGACAGAACATTACTGTTACAGGGAAGTGGCTGAGGTAGTCTTTCAACATTTTTGAAATCAGATTTCAAAGAAACTGCACTTAAATCTGGAAGACCAATAATGAAACAAACTCAGCTGATCTTCATAATCTTAGATGTGAGAGAAGCTGATGTTATGACACTTAGGCACACAGTTGTTAAGAATTCTCTTCATCCTGTCACTGGCTGAAACCCTTTAGTAATTCACAGCTAGGGCAGACCCATTGAATCAGCAGAAGATTTGGTTCACCATATCCCTACTGATTCAATGTAATGTAATTATCCATTAGGGGCTATCTCTAATGTCTTTCTGGTGACACAAATTGGTGTTCAAACTTAACTCAAAGGATAAGTATATGAGTGATGTGCATATTTGTGTATAATTATCTTTTTCCTATCTGCTACTTTGGATACATTATGAATGTACATCTATGAATATGCTAATATACCCATTATTTAAACATTCTTTCCAGAATTAATGGAGAAATTCACCGCGTCCATGCCAACTGTGCAGGTTTTCTCCTGGTTCTTGTTTTGTTGTCAGAGTATACCTTGGGTCTTTTACTGGTAGTGCACTTTGGATCGTGTTTGAGAGGAGAATCAGTTCAGTCACTAGACTGTTCATGTTTCTACATTCCATATGTGGATAGTTTACAACACTAACATTCAGAACAATAAAACAATATAAAGCAGAGAGATACAAGAAAGTGCTTCACATTTAATTAATTAATATCCTGCCTATCTGGTCGATATGACACTCTAGGCAAAGTTAAAGTGTGAAATTACAGCCCCAGGCCTATCTGGTCGATAGGACCACTCTAGGCAAAGTTAAAGTGTGGAATTACAGCCCCAAGATATAGTAGCACCTGCAAAGCAGGATGCATTTAAAGGAGAATTAGATAAATTTGGGAGGTTAAGATCATCAATGGCTGCTAGTTAGGATGGCTGTTATAGATCACATAGTAGGCCTCTTTCTATCAGTTGGTGAGGAATCAGAGAGGGAAGATGTGGTTGCCCTCGTGTCTTGCTTATGGGCTTCTCATATGCAAGTAGTTAGTACTATGAGAACAAAAATGCTGGACTTGACAGGCCTTTCATTTGATTCTGTAGGACTCTGTTTAAGTTCTTAGGTCCTGGACACAAAGAGCTACTGCATACCGTGGCCCTTCCAGCATGGCAGTGGTAAAATCTTCCTTGAACATTTCACATACCTCAGAACCCCTCACAGCCTGTAAGTCAGAAGTAACTTAATGGCACATTTAGAATGAGGTTATATGCTCTACCTTAAATTTATTTTGGTTCCTATGTAATTTTGATGTCGGGTTGGTTTTTCTTTATGGTCCATAAGAACTTTTCTTGCTGTCCACAAGATTTCAGTTTAAAAGATGCACAGTTCCACTCAGAAATAACCACCAATACTGTACTTTTATTTGCTAATAAATATCATAGGAAACAGGCTTACTCCATCTGTAAGACCTGATAATGCCTCTTAGGAAATAATAGAAAAATAAAATACAGTAATCATCAGTAACTTGTACGTTGTACAAATATCTTATTATGTTGCTCAGCATGTAGCTTCGCTAAACCCCATATTCTTTCTGCAAATAGATGGCATATGAATGCAATTCACCTTAAAACGCCCTAGTTATCAGAGCTGAGCATTTTATTACACTACTAACTTAACAGGCATTCCAGGACATGAACATTTACAGGGAACATCATATTATCATAGTAGTAGATTGCAAATGAGGAAACCAGTAACAAGTCTCAAGTAAATGTGGATTACTCCATTTCTAATTTAAAATAGGAGCATGTCTATTTCCCCCTTAAGACTGCAATTCAGTATGCAAGACTTTCTTTTGAACAATATTCCTGCCTTCTTATTAATGAAAGGAAAACATAAATAAAATATGAGTAGGAGATACATACTAAATGAAATGAATTGGAAATTCCAATGGGCAGCTTTGGCCTTCTACATGTTGTGCTAAAGCTTCTGTTATCTCCTATCATTGGCTACATTGCCTAGGGTTGATGAGAGCTGCAGTCCAGCAATGGCTGGAAAGCCTCAGGTTGCCCACCCCTGCTGTAAGCAATACAGTAGTCCAAAGAGGAAAATACATTTTCAAAAAACTGTTTTTTAAAAAAATGCCCACCAAGCCCTTCTCTTCAAACATTATAGTTTTGATTTGCAGTTGGTAGCCAAAAACACAGATAAGTACCTACAATCAGGATGGATATAGCTTTGAGTAGCCACATTTTAGAGAGTATTGGCTGAAATCCATATGTAGAAGACTGTAGGGAGATATGCACATTTCCAGTAAGCAGACATGGGAACCTATGCATGAATTACCTTCCTCTTTTGAAATGGGTGTGAAGATGTTCAGAGTGGAAGTTCCTGCACTGGGGTGCTGAAACCCAGAGCAAACTGTCCAGATATTTCATTAATCAATCAATCAATCAATTAATTAATTATTCAATTTCTACCCTGCCCCTCTAGACGGTGCCATTGAGCACTGCTGAACGTACAAATATTGTTTGTTTTATTTTTAGGCCACCTTTCTCCAGATAAGGGGACCCAAGGTGGCTCACCATATTAAAATAATAGAATTAAATACATAAGAAGTCAAACATAACAAAGCAAAGCAATTTAACTACACTAATTAAAGTAGAATTGAATAATTAAAATCAGATAAACATTAAAAACGATCTTCTTAAAAATAGCATCCTGAGACTCAATCGTCGGCCTCCCTCAATAGGTCATCACACAGGGCGACCAATGCCGTTTCTGTACCATGGCGTGGCCTGAAGCCCGATTTACTAAATGTCATCATGATTTCACTCAAAAACATTTTCAGGAAAGAGTTGCATATGACCATTTACAAAAGCCGGCCCTTGTGTCACCATCAGCCATGCATGTTGGCAATTACTGCTTTACTAAATGTCATCATGATTTCACCCAAAAACATTTCCAGGAAAGAGTTGCGTATGACCATTTACAAAAGCTGCAGCTTAGCTTTTAAATTGATGACACTTCACACACACACATGCACACAGACACACATGTGCACGGACACACCAAAACGAGGTGAATTTCTTGGTGTGTTGGGGCAAATCATTGAAGAGCTTGAATCCAAAGAGCATGTCCCTGACAAAGGCAAAGAAGTATACCAGCTGTGGAGATGACATATTTTCATGCCTGTTAGGGTCAACGTGAGGAAGAATGTTCAAAAGACAGAAAGGCGCTGGGAAAAGGGGTGGAGGGAATATTATCTATATATACTTTCTGTCTTGTTGGCATATGTTGGCAGAAGTGAGTTCATTGACTAGGTATTCTCCTTTCCATGCCCTTATACAGTAATAACGTTAATAATGTTGCAGTTACAGAAAACCATGTACCTTGTGATTGGATGTAGCTGTTGTAATTATTCTTTAAAATGTTAATCAAATACATAATTCAACTCATTTCATGACTCTGTTACAAAAGCAGACAGTCCGGGACAGTAACCATAAAAAGGTAATGATAAAAATAATTCATTTATTTTAATTTTTATGTTTCAATTACTGATTGAGGCTCAAATAAGAACACAAAGTAATAGAACTTAGTTATTGAAAGAGAGCTATCGCCATGTTAATGCTCCAATCCATTTTTGGAGAATGGCAATGACATTTTAATACAGAAAGTAACTAAAAAGACATTAGCAGAAAAAGCACTGATTCAATACCAGGAGTTTTACTCAAAATCATTCCTAATTAACCTCTGTAGAGTCAATTTCAATGATCTGCTACAAGAGTTTGGTATCATTTTATTGGAATATTTCATTTATAGGAGTGATCCTGAGAGTCATGTCTGTCATACGTATAAATGGCATCAAGTTCCATTTTATATTTTTTAGTTGTGTGCTAGGTGTTTATTATATGGGCCAGTATTCTACTACGTATTCTAGTAGCAAATTGCCGCTTATTGAGACGGGACTGGGACCAGCAATGGTGGGTTTTGACACTAAAGACACCCACACCATCCTAGGGCCCTCAAAGTTTTCCCAGGTCAAAAGGGATTACTAGGGACCCTCAGAACCTTGGGAGGACAGGTAAGATACTTTTAGTTAAAGATAAAAGACTGCAGCTGACGGCATCATTAGCCTTACATGTTCAGAGAAGCACCAACAGGATTCCAGCTACTGTCTGCTTCAAAGCAAAAAATGCCTGCTTTTCTCTTAACTATATTAAGTTCAGCATCTACCAACAGTACCTCAAAGCCTACTTCCGATGTATACTGTGAAAGAGTTTAGGTTTACAGTGCAGGTGAGAACAGGATTTCTGATCTACCTCATGATGTGATGGTTCAAATTTATAAAGATAGGAAAATGAGGAAAAGTCCTTGCTCTCCATTGAGGGGCTCCCATTCATATTCTAAGTTCCTTACAAGTTTGCCTTTGGCCATATGCTGTTGTGGGCGAAAAGTGAAAACATTCAAGATCCACTTTATAGGCTGTTTGGGTACTGTATTGTAATGGTCATTTCACATGGTTAATAATAAAATAATTGATATTGGTACTTCAAACTCCTTTCATTTGGCACCAAAAGTTTTTTAAATCAGCCACAATAACATCTCACCAGTTCATAGCCAGGAATTCCTATGATGTATGCTGTAACAGTAACAAAATTAGTCTTAGAGACATTGACTTGACAATACAATCTACTGAAATCAGTGGGCTTCATTTTCAAGCATGTATGTGCATAGCTTGTAGTGATGGGATGTGTGATCATAAGCCATTTACTTGCAAGTGAATTCAGCTTGAGATCAGCAATATAATTTTCTTTATAATAAGTTTAAGATCTGGATGTGAGTTAGCTGAAACAGTAACTTGAATAAATATGCCTTGTGACTGCTGGATAGCTCAGTGATTTAAGTATTGGGAGTTTGATTCCCCACTGTGCCTCCCTGACAGGGCTGGACTTGATGATCTAGAAGGTCCCTTCCGGTTCTGCAGTTCTAAGATTATCAAAGTAATTTGATTCAGAGGTTGTTTCACATCTGGTCAGGAAAACAAAATGATTTTAAAAAGGAACACAACAACAGCAACAGCAAAGGTAGGGTAGGAAACTTAATATGATTATGGGTTGAATTGTTGTTGTTGTTATTATTTTATTTCCATTTCGAATTTTCTGTCATTTAAAAAAATCTCCATATATTCATAAAAAGCAGGATAGTATGCCAGTTTGCATAATGGAAACCGAAAGAAAAGGCTTTGAAATGATGTCCTAGCACAGTGGTGATGAACCTTTTTGGGCTTGCGTGCCCAAACTGGAAAAAAAACACAAAACAGCGGGCGATGTGCTGCGGTGGCGGCGGAACTGGAAGTGGTAGCGGAAGGGGGAATCATGGCAGGGAGGTGCCTCGAGACCCCACTCTGGATCCGCTGCCAGCACCAGCTGCTCCGGATCCGCCTGTCGAAGTGCCAGCACCGGCTGCAGCTGCCTTCTCAAGTTTGGCTGCATGGGGGGTGGGTGGGTGGAGTAGAGATCTGGCGACATGGCTCACATGCTGGCAGACAGGGCTCCGCGTGCCAGCTGTGGCATGCGTGCCATAGGTTCGCCATCACTGGCCTAGGAGATAATGAAAATCGATACTGGAATCAGTGTTTTTAGTATTAAAGGAAGTTTCCTAGTATTTAAGATACTTTATTTGAAAGACATGCCCTACATTATATGCTAGTAAAGTGTACTAACATTTAATACATCTTGATTTTTTTTGTACTTTAACAATGCCCATTACAAAGAGGAAAAGCAAACTATCAAACTACATCTGAGAATACTATGGAAAAAACAGCAGTACTCTGTTTTTATTGCCTCCCCCCCCCTCAGGTGGTTTTGCCTTCTCTATAATTCCATATTATTTTGTTAAATGTTGTATATAAATTGCACAAATGAAATTATAGTGAAAGGAATCTAGTTTTAATGTTTTTAAATTTACTTCATTTCATTCAGCATCTGCTAGGCAGATGAAGTTAACTCTCATGTAGTAGTAGTAGAAGTAGAAGTAGTAGTAGTAGTAGTAGTAGTAGTAGTAGTAGTAGTAGTAGTAGTAGTAGTAGTAGTAGTAGTAGTAGTAGTAGTAGTAGTAGTAGTAGTAGTAGTAGTAGTAGTAGTAGTAGTAGTAGTAGTAGTAGTAGTAGTAGTAGTAGTAGTAGTAGTAGTAGTAGTAGTAGTAGTAGTAGTAGTAGTAGTAGTAGTAGTAGTAGTAGTAGTAGTAGTAGTAGTAGTAGTAGTAGTAGTAGTAGTAGTAGTAGTAGTAGTAGTAGTAGTAGTAGTAGTAGTAGTAGTAGTAGTAGTAGTAGTAGTAGTAGTAGTAGTAGTAGTAGTAGTAGTAGTAGTAGTAGTAGTAGTAGTAGTAGTAGTAGTAGTAGTAGTAGTAGTAGTAGTAGTAGTAGTAGTAGTAGTAGTAGTAGTAGTAGTAGTAGTAGTAGTAGTAGTAGTAGTAGTAGTAGTAGTAGTAGTAGTAGTAGTAGTAGTAGTAGTCATTTTAACATAACAAGGCAGGATGTTCATACTGATAAAAAATAATAACTTGAAGTTCAGTCCTTGAACTCCTCTGCCTGAAGTCTTTACTGAAAAGAATAGAAATAGGTCAGAGCTTTCGCAAAATAAGAACCTCTTGTCATGCAGCACAAGCCCACACATAGTTGTTCAGAATTAAGCAGTGTTGAGTTCAATGAGATTTTCTAATTATGTGGATAGAGTATTATAGCCTCAAAGTTACAGACAAGCTATTCAGAATTACTTGCATTGAGCAATAAATACTCCTTGTTAATTAATTTACCTCGATCCAACAACATTATCACATACTGCATTGATCACCCTTTTGTGTGTGGTTTCAAGTGCAGCAAAGGAAGTAAGAGCAACTGGGGAGAAAAAACCTGGAGCCCAGCACAGCCCCTTTAGAATTTGAAAAAAAAAAGAAACAGGAGGGGAGAACTTCTTCCTCTATTTTTTTAAAAAAAGGCCTTTGAATCAGTCTGGTGAAGAGAAGTAATTCAGCAGCATATACAGGGCTGAAGGGTCCTTATTAAAAGCCATTTAAAAACTTGGCTGTTTAGGCAGGCCTTCCCTCCAGCCAATTAACTGATCTTTAGTCTTTATCTTTTAAACTATTTCATCTTAGTGATCATTTAAAATTAGTGTTAAATTATGAGGTTTTAAATGATTTTATGATATTTGTTATATTGTGACATTTTTATTATTTATTTTATTTATTTATTTTATTTATATCCCACCTATCTAGTCAATTAAGACCACTCTAGGCGGCTATGTGTGTAGACTTTGTCTAGGGGGCGGGGTAAAAATCTAATAAAAGCAAAAAGTAAAGTTATGTTCGGTGTACTCTGACTAGCACTGGCTTTTTAGAGGCTGAGGGAGAATCTTTGGCCTCACCTGCTACCTGACATTTTGAACAGGTGAGGGACTAAACTCTGGGACCTCTTGCAAGCAATGCATGTAGTTTACCATGGAACTATGGTACCTCCTCTAAGATAAATGTCAGCCCACTACAGACCAGTGAAATCAAGATTCTGAAAGGATATGTAACTTATGTTAAAGGAAAATACAGGGGAAATTCTTGCCTATGAAGGTAATTTCATGGCCCATGGGGCTGAAGAGCATCCTGATTTCCTCCCGCTACCACAGTCTACGTCCATCACTTGAAATGAACAATACACCATAATGTGTGCCCTTTGTTCCATCCGTTTCCCCCCCTCCCCAAGCTCTGTGAAGTTATTCAAGTTTGACTGACTGGGCAGAATGTGGCACATATCTATCACCCACTCTTTATAGGCCTTTCATCCTGCCTTCTGTGAGATAAAAAATAAAATATATCTCTTGTCGTTTTTAAAATGCACTTTAAAGATTGTTGTTGCTGCAAATCAAAGCCTAAATCCCACTAGCATCCACAGTGCTTCGTGACATCCCAAAACCTGATGAAAGCTGTTCTATTAGCAGAACAGTCCCCTTGGATCCTCGTCCCAAAGCCCCAGAATAATACTAAAAGGCTTTAAATCAGCAGAAACTATGCATCACTTGGCTGAAGGAGACTAAAGCATACAGTATGCTGCATTTCTATCCAAGCAGTCTTGGTAACCAAATGATTTATTATTGATATAAACAGGTAATGTTAGTCCTCACATATTCTCATTTCTTTTCTACAGACACAGAATATCGAAGTGCAAATAAATAAACCTACATATAATATAGATCCTTGCTGCTTGAGAAAGCTTCTGTATGTATTAGAATGCAAAAGTTTTGCTTAGTGGGCTGAAGCATGATGATGACATTAAGTCATCATCATCCAGCCCATCTCAGGGATAAAACACAATTGTGTATCCTCACTGTTTAATTTTTTTTATATTGCTCTAAAAATATTGCCCTTTCAAAGTATTTTAAAGAATAGGCATTTACTTTTTCTTTTTAGTCTAAATTCCTCCCAAAACAATGATACACATACATAATTTATTTCTAAATATTTGCAAAATCTTTGTTATTAGTCAGATAAATAGTGAACTTGCACATGAAGGAAACAGTTTTTTACATATATTTGAGGTCCACATATATAATTTTGTGGAAATAAGAGCATAACAGAGAGTAATAATCTCCACTTTACCTTGTAGTCAAAGAATGATTTCACATAAGAGAATAAATTTACAAACACTCTTCCAAGGTGCAGCTTCTAATACTTGCTTATCATATTTTAAAACCATTCTTAAGGAAAACTTAAACAAGGCAGGGGAGAATAAATAAAGAAATCCCAAGCCAATCCATAAATAGCAACAAAATCCAGAACATTTTTAATATTTTAGCGAGATAGTTACTAAATACTGTAATGTCATTCTTTCCCACCTTTTCAGATGATTATTATAAAAATATATTTAATAAATGTTTATACTGTGATTTTTTCTATCATTTTCTATTGAAAATATATATTTCCATAGAGTGATAAATCTGTTAATGAATTTTTCATATAATGTAAGTACATTAATGAGTGTACAACATGCAACTTTTCAGCCACACAAATGGAAAGGTACACGTGTGTACATCTACGTTTGAGGAAGGGCTTGTCCATATAGTTTTAATAAAAGTTGAATGATATCAAATACTTGTTTGATTAAATAATGAGTTTGCAGTTCATATATTTATATATATACGTACCTTAGACTTAATCATATTTCCTTGAAAGCTAGGATTCTCCTCTCAGTGGCTTCATGTATCACCAGAGATATGCCCTCCTCTCAGCTAAATGCCTATCACATCTGCATTCATCTGGTGCTTTCTGGGCTGCACAAAGTAGAACTTGCATAGGAGAAATGTGCAGGGTGTTGCTGCATGCCACATCTGCAGAAGTTCCCTTTTTATATGAAACACCACCAGCTCAATGCGGAAACGGCTGTGCATCCCATCTGGCCACAATTTCTGAGATTTTCAATAATAAGTTCCAAAGAAGGATTGCATCTGTCTTGTCAATAAGTGTCTCCTTAAAACCACATACAATTACATTATTACCTCTGATTTTTTTAAATCGTTTTTTCATATGTTGAGCAAAGGGATTTGTGCCCTTTAAAATTGCCTGGCAATTGGCATTTGACACATTGACAATCTACAGAGTTTTGAAAACGAAGTCATTTAATGGCAACTTCAAAATCAACCACGTGGAGTCTGTTCCAGCCAGTCAGCAATCCATGTAAAGCTGTTTGTTCTATTGGTGGTCACCACTGCTGTATGAGAGAAACTAATAAGAGGATGGCACTATAACTTGGTGAGTCTATGAGATAATAGAGAAGCTCTAGTGGAGAAAATGTGGCTTCATGTCTGTTTGATGAACTAGTCCACACTTGTGGAATCTCAGCACAGCTTTAAAAGGATTGCTGGAAAGACCATCAGAGGAAGCAAGTGGAAAAACCAAACAGAAAAGAATTATTTTGTATGTGAGGCTCAGCTTTTAGAAACTACAATTTGTATGGCTGCTTTCCCATAACAGATAAATACCCCCCCATATTAAATGAGCATTTGAAAAAAAATGAAGTTTGTATACATGAAGGAAAACAAAGCATATTTCTTTCAAGCCTGCAGACACAACCTGATACACTGAATAGAAGTGTTTCTGTACATGAAGGGAACTTGCTTCATTATACTCCAAACTTGCAAAAGAACCCTAAGAATCTTAGAATCTGTTCAGTAAAAGAGCTGTTAAAACGTTCTCATCAATCCCATTCCACCTTTTTAGAAAACCCTTTTTAAAAGGACTTAAATTACAGATAAATCCCCACAGATTTATAGCTCTTTGATAATGAAATCCATTTATACAGATAAAAATTAATAATTTTCTGGCAAGCCAACTGGGATTGTTTAATGAAACTTGATCGAAGATCAGCCTTCCTGGGTCATCTTGCTCTCTCTAACACAGTTACACGCGGGCCCCTGTGCATGGACACAACCCGTTTCAGCATCTCTGTCTCTTAAACTTGAAGTTGTAAACTGTAAGCTTCAGTTATTGTGTCATCTGTACATAATTGATTTATTTGGCATCTCCTTTGTTTAGATGCTACCCATAAGTTTATATTAGAAGTGCATGAATATAGTGTTGCTTTACAAAACAGTATAATGTTTTGCACTGTCCCTACATGTGAGATATTTGTAATTGTGCATGGCTTTCAGAGCATGCAAATGTGCTAATTTCTATTACACAGTATCATATGTTCCATGCAGAGTATGGATGAAATAGCCCAGTAGATTTATGCTTTGCAGAGGTACAGATTTTCTGGAGCATTTGCCATCAGGTATATTATATGGCAATTAAAGTTTATAACTGTAAGGTCTAACTTATCTAAGGTATCATTAATGAGCAGTTAATCCACTTTCTGTATATCAAACTGGTTTCTATTCCCTCTAGCTTGGGTCATTTTTGGGGGGTCCCATACTGATTAATTTGTGTTCATTGGTCATTTATGGATTACGGCATGATCCCTACTTCAAAGTATATGGTCATTACGGAGATCTCCAATTTGTATTAACTGGAAAGCCAGGAAACTGAAAATATCTTCAAGGCAGGGAAAAATGCAGTAAAATGAAGATTTTTCATGATTATTTTGGATTTGTTTTCAAACGTAACATTTTTGTTTCTTTATTTTTAAAATGGTTAGGCTGCCACAGAAGGTGAGCATGCCACAATCGAACTGCCATAGTTAAATAAGAAATTCCTCATGTGCAAACAGCAAATGTTTCTGGGTGTACAGCTCAAGTCGACATTTCTAAATACAACAAATAAACAAATAAAGTCTGCATAGATGCATTGCAGAATACCTGATAATTATCATGTATTGCATGTGGCTTTAAATCAGTTTTCTGGAGATTATTTAGTATGCAGTGGAGGCATAGATTAATTTTTTTTTCCAAAGTAAAAATAAAGCTAGCTGACAGTGAAAGTTGTTTTCTATGTGATTACAGTATTCTGAAATTTATAGGGTAAAAAAAACACCTTGAAGTCAGAACAAATAAATTTAAATACTAGGCATCACAAAAATGTGACAGCCTGTTGTTCTCTTCAGTTATCCATTTCATCCTGTTCACACATACAAGCAATCACTATAAGTTGTTGTTATTCATTTTGGCCAAGAATTGTTCTATACTGGCATACCAGCAATTTAACTACTGTAATACAAAGTAAACATAATACAACCCATATACTTGGGATTTAGTTAACAATAAAATAAATATTTATGTCAAACTCTTTTTCTTCATTGCACATTTTATACTGGAAGCTAAATGGTCACAAAACATGAATGAAAATGTCAATTACTTTTTGTTTTGTTTTTGTAATCTACCATCACATTCTAACACATCAAGAAGGTAGTAGCCACTCCAAGCCACAATGGCTTTAACTTTCAAAAAGTCAGTGGAAGTTTTCCAAATATTTTTACTGTTATACAAAGTTTTACATCCATGCTGAGCTATTCACCGTTGTATAGCAATAGTCTTGCACTGGGGTCAAGATGTTGTTGGCAGTTAACTGAGGGAGAAACTATGCCATGTGATTAAAAATTCCAAGTTAGAAGGATTAACAGAACTGTTATGTGTTTATAGAATGAACCGGAAGTTCCAGTTCTCAAAGCTGGGAAGAGCAGAAAGAAGAAATGAGATTTTCCATTATAGAAATGTTGAGGCACAAAACACAGTCACTTCTAGAACTTTCATACATGAAATCCTTTCTCCTGTATGTGCATCATGTGTAATCTCAAAGTCTGTAAACTGCTCACTATTCGTCTCTGGTGTCCAATAAGTACAACACCAATTCTTCTAATATCACTGCAAAAGAAAGATTAGTTAAGGAACCATTTCAGGAGAAGCAGATGAAATCATATCAGCATTATTTATCTTATTAATTTTATTTGTCTTATTTATAGGCCACCTTTTTCCTGATTAGGGGACTCAAGGCAGCTCATAGTATTAAAAAGAATAGAATTAAAAATACCATAAATTATACATTAAAACAATTAAACTTTAGAACTGCTTAAAGTGTATTGAATAATCAGAAACATGTAAAATAATAAAAATCATGGTAACTAAAAAACGGCATTCAGAGACCTAGTCATGATTTATAAAAGCCTGTCTGAAAAGGTGGGTCTTCAGCTGTTGGAGGATGGATACCGATAGTTGGACAAAGCTTTTTGAGGAAGACATACTTTTTCACTATACATTTATTAAAAAAAGCTCAGAAACATTTACCCCTCTCTCACAGATATGTCCCCTGAGGTATCCCTCATCTTGTAACATTTTAATTTAAAATAATAAATAAAAAGGACGACTGGTAGACACTCCCTCTTCCTCCCCTCCTTCCCTCACAATGCCCAAAGGCATTTTTATGAAAGGAAAAGGGAAAAGTGGGGCACTTGGAAGCAGGTGTTCTACATTTTTATATATAAAAAGAGTGAAAACTGTCTTTCTATATTTAAAAAAATTGGAAAAGGAGTGGGGAGAAGAGGGAAAATCTGCTGCCCTGACAAACTGTTGGGCTGAGAGGGACGGGGCTTTTTAATGTGTAGACTGTACACTTCTAATGCGTGTCTCAGAAACACACAAAGAGAGATTTTAAACTATATTCTCTGGCTGCCAATATTTCAGTTGATATTTGGTAGTCTGTGTCATTAAAGAGCATTAAACAAAACCTAAAAACTTACTCAGTTGCCATGAACTTTTCATAATTTAAATATTCTATTGCAATTTATCATTGTGCTGTGGTATTTTGTGATCCCTGGTCATTCGACTGCGAGCTGTTATTGTCAGCTGTCACTTTTTAATTATGTAGTCTTTTTATTTAGAATTTCTGTATGATTTTTCAAATGTTGCTACATATTGGCTAAAACCTTATTTCCTTTGGTGTAGAAATAAATTAACACATTTTTCCACTTACAAGACGACCCAAAGTATAAGACGATCCCCTTTTTCTGACCCCAAATTAGAAAAAGGAGGTATCAAAGGGCTCCCTTTTGGCTGAGCCCAGTGCACCCTCGCCTTTTGAGAAGGCACGGAGCTTAGCAAAAAGGAAGAGAGCATAGCCTCCCCTTCCTTTTTGCTAAGCCCTTCACCTTCCCGAAAGGCAGTGGTAAAGAGCTGCCTTCCCTGTATAAAACAACCCTCAGTTTTTTTCTCAAATTATTTAAAGAAAAAGTGTTGTTTTATACACGGAAAAATAGGGTATGCCTGCAGAAATTCACAAGGAGTTATGCCCAGACAGCCTGCGTGTCTCATTGTGTAGCTGCCCAAATGCTCCTGCAGAGCTGCTTCATTATCCCAACTCCTGGCTTGTGCAACTTCAAGTAATGAAGCTGTAGCTGTACAACAGGATTTTGGTCATTGTTTTATTTATGTAACATTGTAAAGTGCTGTGTATGTCCGAAAATACTCAAAGCCTCATAACACAATGAGTTGGTCTTGAGTGCTAGGAATGTAGGATGATTCTGAAAAAGAGAAAATTGTGAGCTGAAAGGTTTGTGTTTCGAGGCACAGAATCTATGTCTGCCTTTTATTCTGTTATTCGTCTTTTACCTTTGTTTATCTTTCTGTGAAATGGGTGTCATGTGACCATTGGTACCTTCAATGGCAAATATCCAGTAATGGTGCCATTAACATTTCCTTACGATTCTAAATGTGTGCAGTGTCCTCCAGAAGCTGAGATTCTTCTAAACAATGTACTTACTCAATACTCATTCTTGAAACAAGATCCATAGTTGTATAACCTGCTGCAATGAAGTTTGTTTTGTATTGGCCCATTTTTATTGAGTCCAGCCAATCACTGACTGATACATAAAAAGGATATTCTGGAAGTTCACCAGGTGAATCTGGTATTCTGTAGAAAGAAAAGCAAATGCAAAATGCATGAACTCAAGGACAACGAAAACACACTCCAATACATTAATGCTTTTGTTGTTTGACACTATATTTGTAACTCATGTGAAAAATAAATCAGATGGCCCAAGTGGTGAAATTGTGTCTAAAAGTAAAGTCATATTCACCACTAGGTTTTCTTCTTTTGCCTGAATATAAATCAACTCTAATTGTAAAAAATAAATTTGGCTTTGCCTTCTGTTTCTATTTAAAACCACACACCAGTAATTACTAAAACAAAATTGTGTGAAATCTATGTACTGTAGTTAATTCAGAATGGAACTGCCTGCCCTACTCGTTCATCCCAGGTGGGATGTCTGAGGGTGCTGACCCCAAGAGAGGCCTTGAGGGAAAAGACTAGAAGCTCGCTGGGCCTTATCAACAGTTGCACACCAACTCTGGAACCAACTACCCCCAGACATCCGCCTGGCCCGCTTGATAACTTTTAAAAAACTTTTAAAAACTTGTCTGTTTAGACAGGCATTTCCATCAATGGAAACCCATTGAAATTTCAGCTATCAAGACAACCATACTGTCATTTAAAATATTTAATGTGTTAATGTGTAATTGTTTTATTGTTGTTTTATTTTGTGATGTTTATAGGTTAAATTTATTTTATATTTGTAGTTACGTTTTATTATTTGACTATGTTGTGAACTGCCCAGAGTAGTCTTGGTCTGCATGGGTGGTATACAAACATTAATTAATTAATTAATTAATTAATTAATTAATGTATGTATGTATGTATGTATGTATGTATGTATGTATGTATGTATGTATGTATGTATGTATGTATGTATGTATGTATGTATTTATTTATTTATTTATTTATTTATTTATTTATACCCCGCCTATCTGGTCAAACTACCACTCTAGGCGGCTGAACTAAATAAATCTGAACTGGTAAATCACACATCAGGTACACAGAAAAATGGCGATGGGAGAGTTATAATGAAAAAGGAGAGGAATTACTAAGACAGTTGCCCATAGAAGACCTTGCTTTGTACAATTTTTCAATTAACATGATGCTCTCTGATGGCCATGACATACAAAAAATAAGCACACTGAGATGGATCTTACACAAGGATATCTTCTGCTAGGGTATGAAGAGAGCTGGGGTTGCGTATCAATTTGTCTAGGAAGCTGACAATGTCGCTGAACTTTGGCCGATGGTTTCTTTCCTTTTGCCAGCAATGAAGCATTAGTTGGTGAAGAGAAGCTGGGCAGCCCATGGGAGCTGGAAGCCTGTAACCTTCTTCAATGGACAGAATGACCTGAGCAGATATAGGAGAGGAAGGGAGGGAGAGAGATTGAAAGAGAGCAAGGCAAGATGAGGTTAGCTGCTGGCTAGAGTCTCAGGCCAAAGATTATAGCCTGAATTGAAATAGAAGAACAATAATAGTTAATAATTTGTGGCTAAATTCCTGTTGTGTAAGGTACAGAAAGTCACATGTACATTCCCTGCTAGTAAATAAAGACCCCACTGGGATTCTCAGGGTGCAAGCATCAAGCCAGCATGACTGCAACCCCACAACAATTGCAGTGCAGATTCTTTATTTACCAGCAAACAACAGATTGAAATTTACGACTTTGCTTTCATTATGCAACAGGATTTCAGCTATTAAATTGCCTGCTGTAGGTCATTATCACAGATTTACAAGACCAGCAAACAACAGATTGAAATTTACGACTTTGCTTTCATTATGCAACAGGATTTCATTGCCTGTTGTAGGTCATTATCACAGATTTAAAAATATAAAGTTTAAGCAATATTCAAACTATTTCATATAAGACTGTGATTTGCTCTAAATGCTAATAAGAAGAAAGGACATTTAAATAATTTACTTGTATGGATCAGAAATAGAAGAGAATTATGCCTTGGTCTTAAAATCTTTGATTTCAGAGGAATTCAGTTTCAAGTACCTGTATTCAATATCAGAGCCTAAGCATAACTCTTAAAACATTTATCATCAAAGCATCTTGATCTCAGTGACTCTTTGCTCTTAGCCTTGAACAATTTCTATGATATGCCCAAACCACTGGCTGAAATCCTGTTGCTTTGCATCGTATTTTGCAACTACTGTTAAGACCATTGAATCCGTGGAGATTTAGTGAGTCGATTTCTCTGTAAACTCCATTGATTGAATGTGCCTACTCTAGTTGCGACTTTAATACACTAAGCAACAGGATTTCAGCCAGTGTGTAATACACAATTGGGAAACCTGTATTTATTTTCTGCTTTATATTCATATTATCCCTTTGAGGCTGTTCCACGTGATAAATAATTGATTAGATCTTGCATGGAAAATTCCACAGGTTTTATGTTCCTGACACTGAATCTCCAAATGTGCGGAGGTCATTCTACTGACATGCTGGGAGAGTTTTTCGATCCACAGGCCTCCCACTATGCTGGCAAACTCTTGGAATGGAGAGAAATGCACCAAGCTAGGTTCTAGCATGGTTCATTTCCCGTCCATTGACATCAGTCAAATAGAAGAAAAAGATAGGAAGGGAAAAAAATGTTGTCACTTATCCTTTTGCTATTCCCAGCTGGCACTAATTTGGTAGTGCTTGGGGTTCTACAGTCTGTGGGCGCAAATATATTAGAAACAGTCAATTTGGGGTTCCTCTGCATGTCCTTATTTTTTGCCTCTGTGATGGAGAATCATTTTCAGATAGTAATGATTATAATAATACACCATCAAATTAATTCTGACTTCTGATGATCTCTGCTAGGGTTTGCAACGTATAAAGTGCTCAGAAGTGGTTTACCTCTCCTTTCTTCTGGTGGCATTCTGGGCCTTGGTAGCTTGTGTAAGGCTGAATAGTTTGGCTCTGGGGGGAGGGGGCATGGTGGAGATTCAAACTCTCAACCCACAGTTCTGCAGCCAGGTACTCCAATTCATTGAACCATCCATCCAGCTATTTCGGCATATTAACCATGTACAAAATAAGATTGATCTTAAAATGCCATGAGGGCTTATAGATTTCGTCACAGTATGTGAAAAAGCAGAGGCACACAAGGGACTTTGCCCCACACCTCTTCTCTCCTGAAAGCGCCAGTGAATATCCTTGCCAGCCTAATACAGTCTAGGCAGTTACATAAGCATAAATGTCTGGATTTAATAAATGCCCATTTATTTTCCTGATTTAATTTCCCTTCAGCAAAGAAGGTGCCATATGAAGTTTTCTAAGGGCCCTGTGGAGAAATCAGGGTCTCAGGGCTGCCTTCAGCTTCCCCTCTAGTTGTTAGAAAAGGTTAGGCACATTTGCTATCTAATGACTAAATATGGTACTGTAAGCTACATACAGACTTGAATTGATTAAAATTAATTGATGCACTAAAAAAGCTTCAGGATGCACATCCCTAAAGACCCTTAGTATCCATCGCAGGCTTCATGTGTTTAGGAAATGGACACATCCATTGTTTTTTATTATTAAAAATAAAAACGTGAGTATTCTGTCTCTAAGCTTAGGAACCTTACAAGCAATGAATATTGGCATAAATGCTAAAGCAAAACTGAGAAGATGTGGAAGGGTCAGCCGATACCCTAAAGATGGGTAGTTTACAAAAATGTCACAGAAAACTACTGTATCTCATTACTCTTCTATGTAGTAACTGTGCTGAATTTTACTATGTCCCAAAGCTAGGATATCAGCTTAGTCTGTGCATCAGCTTATTTTTCATAGAAAGTTCAACAGCCCCAGGCCAATATTTATTAATTATGCAATAAGGCATGAAAAAACGTGCAAGACCCACAATTAATGAATATTTCTAGTGCCTACCGCATTTTTGGTCAGATATGCTGGCTGGATGGCTCAGCAGTTTAGGTATCTGATTGTGGAGAAATAGGTTGAGAATCTGATTCCCCAATGTGCCTCCTAGGAAAAGAGCCATCCTGTTTAGCTATGAGCAAGTTGCATAGTCCCAGAAGTGCCCCAGAAGAAGGGACTAGTAAACCACTTCTGATATGTAGAAAACCCTGTAAGTAGTCTACATAAGCCAGAACTAACTTGATGACGTGCATTAATCAACAGTGCTCAATAATTGTCATGGTATACTCCAACTGATAATAATAAGAGTTATTCCCAGTAAGTTAGGTTAGACGCCTTCTCTCAAATGTATTCAGTAAACACAATGTAGGAGGCACGACCTGAAAACAGTACCACTTGCAAAATACAATCAATCTTTAGTAACTAGAAGTTCTTACATCCTGGTTGGACATCTCCCAGTATGGTCTTTCTCCGTATGACATAACTTCCCACATCACGATCCCGTAACTCCATGCATCACTTGCTGAAGAGAACTTTCTGTAGGCTATAGCTTCAGGTGCTGTCCATCTTATAGGAATTTTTCCACCCTGGGAAACATGTTTAAATTTTCTTTATATATAAATATAACATATAGCATTCTGCTGCTCACTGATTACTCTACACATTTGTGTGAAAAAAAGAGGAATATATATTTAGCTATTGATGGGAATATCAGATTTCTCCAGCAGTTTCATTCACCAATATGACACTGCTGGAGTAGTATCATCATTGAAAATCAAGAGCATCTTAGTCATTTTAGACATTGTATGTTCTTCAACATTCACAAATTGAGTCAGGCAACATCTTGCAACATCTTTGATAATGTTTATTATCAAAGCTCATCAAACATAACCAAGAAGTGAGAACTTCAACATTTATCATATTAAGATTTTATTTTAAATCTTTTCCCTGATATGTGCAGCTGTTGCCTAAATAGTTGAATTTTGCTGTATGCTTCTGTTTCTTTTTCAGGGGCTGGAGGTAGGGGGCAGATGCACATACTGCTCTGTAGGGGCAGCTCTGCATTCGGTGTGGCTGAGGGCGAAGGTATCAGCAATAGGTTTAGGGAGGAAGCCTTCTTAGAATGGGGTGGAGAGCTGGACATGTGATGGGATGGCCTCAAACTAGTATTGAATGGGGAGCATACATTGTTGGTCCCATAGGTGGTCCTAGTGCATGGAGGGAGGGGCTCCCAATGATATAGATCTTACAGGAAAGAAGATCATTCAGATGGTTCAATGCAGATGGTCTGGTACAATACCGGTGTGGCTAGCCATTCTGGCCAAGAAAGTGTGGAGGAGTGAAGGGGATATCTGCTGCCTGGATTGGACCCAGAGGAGGACAAACAGAGGTTAGAGGATGAGTCTGTAAGAATGGATTTTCCCCCCGGAACATCTGTTTTGATCACCCAGAGTTGTTTTGGGGACAAAGTACACTTGTCTGACAGCAGGGTGTATATGTCCTCAGAAGACCTATGGTGGGGTCTCTTAGTCTTGTCTGACAGCAGGGTGTATATGTCCTCCGAAGACCTTGGTGGTGGGTAGGGGGCTATGTGTGACTTAGCCTCTCCCATAATGTGTAGTGCTGGTGAAGTGGTTGGTAGTGGTGAACTCTGGAAGGTGCCGTTCGGCCACTGGGCATCTTGGGTGTGTACCACGAATCACATGATTTAGTGACACAGGTAGGTGATTCTTCCAAGGCCAGCTTGGAGGATATAAATATGTATTGCTTATAATCACTATCAGAATTGATTGACCAGAAGAGGATAACTTTCCTCTTCACTTGTTTTCTATGTTTTCCTTGCAAATGTTTAATAAAGTTGGCTCTGGTTTAAGCCTCTAACCTAAAAAACAAAATACTGATTTTCCTTCTGTGGCACATATAACATAGAACTATGCTACAAGGATCCATATTCAAATTTTTCTTTCCTATGCATTGTTTCTTCCCTCTGTCCCCCCACCCCCATTGCTGTGTCATATGTGGCTTACTAGCCTTATTTCAAAGCATGTGTCGCATCAGATTCCTACTCAGTGATCTAATCTACTTTTCAAAAAGTTAATAATGTGTTCCCAGATTGTTATCTGCTCTGTTGAGTATAATGGCCCTGGATAATTTTCTTTGTACAGAAGGAAAAACAAAATTGGAACAGAAACAGCCACAATAATTCAGAGATAAATCTCGTCTGTAGATGGCATGTATGGGGTTTGACATGAGACAATCTCTAATGTTACTCCTAATAGCTGAGGGAAATTATGGTACATTCCATTGTTTATAGCCACATAAACAGTAATTTTTTCTAAAGCTAAACCATTATATACATAGTAATGGGAAATTTCATTACTTAATTACTTTTCTAAAGTATATTTTTACTAAAAAAAGAGAGAATCTTTTATACTTTCCAGAGTTAAGTGAAAGGCTTAGACTAAGCAATATCTGTTCATGAATAATAGAAGGATACATTTGCTTCTGCACAGCTAAAACAATATTTTCAGTGCTGAATGGAATAGTAATAATAATATAAAAAAACCTTCTAGCTCTGCTGGGCATCTCATTCTAATAACATGATTATAATGAAAAATATTTATTACATTCTATTGTATACAATGTACTTCATCACCAAATTAAAATAAATATCCATTGATATAAATAACTAATTTCTATAGCAGATTGATCAAAAATTGGCAATGCCCACACACAGTACTAATTTTACAGGAGCAAGCATTTTCCTCCCATTTGAAGCCATGCTGCATTTTCACCTCGTTGCTTAAATTTATAATGAGCTTGGGGAAATGCTAATTTTGCTTTCCTGTTATAACACAGCAGTAATGGTGCTATTCAAATGCTTATGATGTAGCCTGATTTCATCTGCTACCTCCTGAATTATTCTTGATTGCAGCTCAGAGACAAGATGTCACCATGTGCTGCCACAAGCCCTTTATTTAATGAGTGAGGAAGTGCCAGATCACTCAAGCAGAATGACATATCAGTTTAGCAGGATCATCTCTTAAAATGAATCTTTTAAGGCACAAATCTGCTGGCCTTGTGGGTTGGAAACACAACCCACTGCTCTAAAGATAAGTGATGGAAATAAACCACAGATAATGCAAATTTTCTAGCTTTAAAAGTCCAGCTCACTGTAGGACTCTCTATCAACTCTCTAGCTTTTTCAGCCCAGCACACACTTTTTTGGGCTTATCTACACAGGCTGATTTGGAATGGGCTGGTGCAGACTAAATAGGGTCACCTAAAGTAGAGGCCTGGTGTGCCATTGGGTGTGGTCCTTGCATCCAAATGGCATATGCATCTCAAGTGATCCTAATTGGTCTGGCTTCTATAAGAAAGCAAGAGAAATGGGAGGATGAGCCCTCCACCCTTGGCCCCTTCTGTCTCCTCTTGCTTCCAGGAAGAAGATTTCAATTTTTAATTTTTTTTTCTAATTGATGCTGTGCATCAGCACTAACACAGTTTTTTAAAACAGCCTTTTCATTTCTCTGTCTCTCCACAGAGAGTTTAATTTCCTAGTATTGTGAAGTAGCTAAGCTGTCTTCCTAATGAGGGGGATCAAATTTAATCCCACAAACTCTACTTTGGTTCATTTCCAGCTATCACACATGCTGGAAATGAATGAAAAATGCAGTTGGTCCTACGCACACCAAAAAAAAAGTAGAAGCCCCCGATAAAAACCTAGAAAGGTGTGGGTAGGAATGATCTGCAGATGGGTTGGTTTGCTCTAGGAATTACATCGACAGATCACCAGAAAAAGGAGTGAACCAGCCTGCAGTGGACCAAACAGCAGAACAAATGTCTGATCTCACCCGTTGTTTATGATGGCACTGGACCAGGCTAATGAAAGCTGATACTCTGGAGTGTTTTGTTAACTGACAAAGAAGTCCACTAAAGTGAATACAATGAAGCTGTAAAATTAGGATAATGTGGATACCACCCAAACATCTTTCTCATTAAGAAAATTTGCATTTTCTAGGCACCTTGAAGAACAGAATGAAGCTGCCATAATAAATCATAAATATTTTCAACTGTCTTTCTCATTCCTGTGATATATGAGGCAGCCTCCAGTTCACCTGGTGTGCCTTCTTATGCAGAGGTTTGTCTCACGTCTGGTGCAACTTCTGTATGTAATTTGAGGTTCTTTCCCCATGTTGAAGTCACTTGCACCTCATCATACTGACTTGCCCTTGCTCCATCTATCATTCTGCTTTCTTCATATAATCTCTCCTACTAATAGTGCTCCTACCTAACTGCAGGCCTGAATAATGAAGGCATTTAAAAAAACTATGTATAGCATGGGAAAAATGAGTAACACCTTCCCGCAGATGACTTAAAAGAGGTAGTGACAAAGCCAAAGTCTTCTGAAAAGTACTTTTCATAATTTAGGAAAGTAGAGCATGTTATGTTACAGCTGGTGAAAAATGTCCTTAATGAGTTGCTGCTTTTTCTGCTACAATTAATGGCCAAAATCCAGTTAGCATACATTTACTTATTTTATTTATTTTTTGAAAATTTTACACTACCCATTTACACAGTGGAAGCAGATGACATTATCAGCTGACACATGTAAAATATAATTTAAATGAATTAAAAGCGTCCTGTCTCTTGCTTCAGGTTCTGAGGCTCCCTTGGACTCCTTTTTGCCTGGGGAAAACCAGGACTGCTGGCAGTGACCTAGATTAGGCATCCTGCAGTCTCGAGAGACTGTGGTAACGTGCTCTGAATAGAGGACTTGGAACAGCATCTGGTGTGGCTGAGAAGGCCAATTTGAGAGTGACAATCCCTTCCACACTGAAGACAGTGTCCAGCTTTCTGATTTTGCTGCTTTCGTGACTGCCTCTTTGCCTCGGCCAGCTGGACAAGGGTCTCTTCAAAATGGGAGAGGCCGTGATGCACCGCCTGCCTCTGGGCTGAACACTCAGGTGTCAAAATTTCCCATCTGTTGAGGTCCATTCCTAAGGCCTTCAGATCCCGCTTGCAGATATCCTTGTATTGCAGCTGTGGTCTCCCTCTGGGGCGAATTCCCTGCACTAATTCTCTATACAGGAGCTCTTTTGGAATCTGACCATCAGCCATTCCCCTGACATGCCTAAGCTAATGTAGATGTTGCGGTTTCAGTAATGTATACATGCTAAAAATTCCAGCTCGTTCTAGGACTACTCTATTTGGAACTTTGTCCTGCCAGGTGATACCAAAAATGTGTCGGAGACAACACATATGAAAGGTGTTCACCTTCCTCTCCTGCTGTGCAGAAAGGGTCCAGGGCTGACTGCAGTACAGAAGTGTGCTCAGGACACAGGCTCTATAGACCTGGATCTTGGTATATGCTGTCAGCTTCTTATTGAGCTATACTCTCTTTGTGAGTCTTGAGAACATGGCAGTGACCTAGCAGTGCTCTTTCTGGCAGCTGTACATCCAAGCACTTTTCCATTAGAACTTGTCAGCTAAGGAGTGCTTTTCCTGACTTAAACCCAAACTGTATACAGTGGACCCTCGACATACAGATAGCTCGACTTTCAGACTTTTCGAGTTACAGACTTCT